GCATGACTGATATCTATCCCCCTCCTATAAATACTGTGTGGTGCCGTACGATACTCACCTCCGACGATGAAAGCTTGTCTGCTTTTGAAACGTCAGGACAATACAATCATGGTTCCCGAGATCGCCTCTTCTTCTCATATATGTATATATATATCCTGAATCATAGTGAATTTCGAGTCAAAAGAGACTAGCTGCTAAGTCGGTTAAGATTCCCTTGATGTGCTTGCCTGTTTTTGTTATGTCTGAAAACTTGCCGCAATTTAACATCGACTGCAAACATGCTGACGCCACAGCACAGGTTGTCGACACATGTGTTAATATATACCGGGAATGTCAATGGCCCTAAGACTAAGTTCTAAGTGAAACCGCTTAGAACGGGCGTAGGGTTTGACTCTGAGGCATCAATGCACATAGTTTTCGATCTTTTTGTAGTAAAATCTGCAATCCATGTCAGCAGCTTTTCACTTATTCCAATTTAGGTTACTTTATAAATTAAGTGTTTGAGTGAGACGCTGCCAAATGTCTTGTTTAAATCCGTGTAGGTGACATCGACCCTACCATTCTCGTCCAGTGCGCTAGCCCTCCGCTCATTCGAGAGCCGTAGTGGAGCCCTGAGAGTAAGCGTCTTTCGTCCGAGAACTCCCCTGTCGCCTTTTAAGTATGATTCCCATTATTTTATATGAATTGCAGTTGAAGCCAAATTGCAGGTAATTTTTGGGACTTGTTTGAGTCCCATTTTTATATGTCGGTAGACATTCGCTGTCTTCTGCACGGATATGCGTTAGTGGTTTGGAGGTTGCGTTGGCCAATTTTGTAAGACACTTGACCGGTATATTGTCCGAACACGTGTACTTTGCTTCCCTGAGATTCTACAGCTCTCTTTCCGATACATGTGTCGGCAAGTATACAAATTCAAGCCCGGGACCGGCGCCTGCAACAGCACTGTCAACATTGCAGATCTCTAACGCCATTTTCCTAGTCAATACTTGGGGAGAAAACCGGGATAGTGTTAAATGATGGAATTCTCATGTTGTCCATCTTGCCGCCCGCTACTCTGTCTCCCATTATTCTTTGATCCTTGATAGTTAAAACGGTTTCTTGCTCTGACTTCACGTGCAAGCATGATTCTGATAGAAGGGCATTTTAACGTTTGGGCGACAGCGTTTACCCATTATGTGAAGCTTTGACGACATTAGAGGAATTCGGTTAGAACTATCGCAACTTTTCTTTAACCTAGGTATCTACTTCTTCAAGGAGTGGAATCGTGTCCATTTGAAATTAAAGTTATTGCCTAGTATGACACATCACATTTTGAAAGAAAGGTTGTTGCCCGGAAATTCCTCACCCACTTTATGCAGTCCTTCACTCTCACGACCTCAAAAAATTTCACTACGCCATACTAAGCTACGTAGGCAAAGCACGTAGCCAGAAGCATTTGGTGTGGGAAGCGATCGAATTGGCACCCTTCTGACTAACGTGGGTTAATCTGCCACAAATGCTTGGCCGTTACGCCCGAAAATTGTACGCTATAAACTGCTCTCTCATCGTTAGCGACCCTGTCTTTTCTTCTTGCTTACAGTAGATGTGCTAACTCATGAAATGTCAACCAAAATTTCGAAATGCGTTCTCGTTTCGAAAAAGATAAATTAAGAAGTGAAAAGACGAGTCCCAGGAAGCAGTCTTGAAGAAGAAGAAGAAACGATCGCCGGGATAAGGGCTTTATTAGCCCGACGTTGCGGATTCCTGCTCGAATCCATCATCAGAGGCATAAGCAGATAAGGGTGGTTCATGCACATGTGGCTGCAGTATTTATAGGATGCAGTAGCCATGCCACCGCATACAGGTTGGTGAACTAAAGACCAAAGTGTTCAGGAAAGCGACAAATACGATGCAAGTACTGAACTTCAACAGCAACCACCCAATCAGTCACAAACGCAGTTGTGCAAGGACGCTCTATCGGCGTGTCGAAACGCACTGCAGTGAGCCGGAAGACAAGATTGCTGAACTACAATACCTCCGACGGGTATTCAAAGCCAATGGCTACCCGGGCAACTTTGTCAACCGGTGCATACGCAAAATGAACGAAAGGCCTAACCGCAGGGACACCAAAGTTTGGCGAGCGCTTCCATATGTCAAGAACGTTTCGGAAGCTGTTGGCCGCCTTCTCGTACCGCTGGGGGTTGGAGTTGCACACAGGCCAGAGGCAACCATCAGGCGTCAATTGATGAAACCAAAAGACCCACTGCCACGGCAAGAAACGTCTGGAGTCGTTTATCGGATCTGGTGCAGTTGCGGACAAAGCAACTACGTCGGAGAAACCGGAAGACAGCTCCGAACGCGAATGGCCGAACACGCTGCAGCAGTGCGAAGAAATGACGCCGGTTCTCAAGTTGCGGCTCATTCGACGGGTTCCGGCCACACATTCAAATTTGACGAGGCCGAAATTCTCGCAAGAGGTGACAACCGCGTGAGCCGGGAGCTGCTTGAGTCATGGTTCACTGGCCCTCAGTCTATTAACAAGTGCAATGATCTTCCCATTCAATACAGCGTGCTGAGACTTCGTCTAGGCGGAGAAATTGGCCACGCAGGGAGCGCCCTGATGAACACTCCTCCCAACACCCGGGTCAGCGCGTCAGATGGTCGAGCAATCATCACACCAACATCCAACGCACGTGATGAAATTGCAGCAATTAACGACGCGAATATCGACCATCACGCCACGTGCAACGATCCCTGATGAAGGGGAGGGAGCCGTGAACATTCATAGGTATGAGGTGGCATGGCTACTGCATCCTATAAATACTGCAGCCACATGTGCATGAACCACCCTTATCTGCTTATGTCTCTGATGATGGATTCGAGCAGGAATCCGAAACGTCAGGCTAATAAAGCCCTTGTCACGGCGATCGTGTCTTCTTCTTCTTCTTCTTCTTCAAAAATTAAGAAGTGTTGTAAAACTAATCATGATGCAGCATAAATCTATAATGATTCAGTCACCTCAGGCTGTCGGCTTTCGAAAGAACTTATTTTCCGCTGCATGAAAGATCTATACTCTGCAAAAATGACTTCTTAAGTAGCGTGCAATTTTCTCACTGATTTTCGAGGCCCCTGAAAATTCAATTATATTTAATAGAAAGCATGCATACAAATATTCATTCTTTTACTTATTCGGTAGAAAATCAACTCTTCTTCCAATTTCATACTCAAAAGAAGAGTATAATTAGGTTTTAAACAAACTTTTCTAATTCCCGAATAATTTTGGACCCGACCTGCTGTTGCACTTGCATTCAGGGTTTCAAAACTACAAGCTGTATATTTTCCGTGTGCGGAAAACCATGCATTTCTCTACGCTGTTAAGAGGAAACCATATGAGGTTCATAGAATTAAGCAGTGGATTTGGGCAATATTGTTAACTTTACAAGCCACATTCGTAAATGCAGATACATGACGTTTTATGAACGGCCATTTAAAGGTATTAGAAAATCTCACAATTAGAAACTTTTTTAAAACCGAATTATACTCTTCTTTTGAGTATGAAATTGGAAGAAGACTTGATTTTCTACCGAATAAGAAAAAAATGGATATTTGTATGCATGCTTTCCATGAAATATAATTGAATTTTCAAGGGCCTCGAAAATCAATGAGAAAATTTCATGCTACTTAATTAGTCATTTTTTGCAGAGTATAGATCTTTCATGCAGCCGATAACAAGTTCTTTCGAAAGCCGACACCCTGACGTAACTGGATCATTACAGATTTATGCTGCATCATGATTAGTTTTACAACACTTCTTAATCTATCTTTTCGAAACGAGAACGCATTTCGAAATTTTGGTTGACATTTCATGAGTTAGCACATCTACTGTATGCGCATGGAAAACCCATCTTATGGGGAATGTTACGATCCTTCCAGTGTCTCTCGACATATGATTGGCAAAAAATCCATACTTCGTCCCACAACTGTAAGGCACGGCAAAAAATGAGAACAAAAATTGACGGTACATGCAAGAAACGAGGTTTTATGCAAACGGACGTTCTCCTGAAGCAATTGCGTGTCAATAAAACAAAGTTTAACTGAACAAAGAACCATTTTGAACCTTCCAAGGTCAATAGTCAGGAAGTGCATTGACAGGAATTCTGCCTGGCCATGGATATGTTGTCGTATTAGGATGTTTCGTAGCTTGACCTCTCTTTCAAAACCAGTGTGTCAACCTGCTCGTTTCTCCGGCTGAGAAAAGAAGAACAAATGATTATTTGGGAAAAATCCATTTTTGAAGTTGATTCCACATATTATAGCCAACAGGTAGTCCGGGGAATTATATTTGAAATCCTGATGGATAATTGCCTTTCATCAGAGGTAACAATACTGTTTTTGATGCATTTGTTTCTTCTACGCGTGCCCATTCTCTCGTTGCACTATTCTCGAAAACAAAATTGCCGCAAAACGTGAACACTAGCAAAATAAAATATAACAACTGAAAGACAACAGAACGGGAACAATTTCGAGCTAAACAGAGTCAAAAAACTGTCATCTCATTTCTAGGATATCTTAGACCAATTAACAGGATCTTGTTAAAGACAGACTAGGGACAGGAAAAAGCATAACAAGCCAATCCGAAAGTGTATGGTCAAATTATCATGGCAACTAGTTGGAACAGTCTACTTGCGAATTTACTCGGGAATGTATATATCGTCTGTAAATAGTGCTCTACCTTCTGGGAGTGTGGGCATTGGGCAGTCCACAATTGCCGTCATGGCGACACAGTAGCTCATAAACCGATAAAGAAACTCCAATTGGCTCTGAAAACATAAAAATAAAGGCTTAAGCGGTGTCCCGAGGGAATATAAGTGTACATACCTACTAGGACTCTAGGTCTACTCAGTGAAAAATGAGTTTCTGGAGACTTAAGGTGTTATTGTAGTTATCGTTGCTACATGAAGAGTTGGTAACATTTTTCGCGGTTTTTCCGCCCAGAGAACCTTTTGGCTTTTCTCCGAATGATACATGTCTACAGAAATGGTAAATGCATCCTCCGTGCGTGCGCATGTACTTTCTACTTATGGGGTTTGTCTATGTCAACTGCATCATGAAGATATTTCTTAGACTAGAAATAAACCACAGAGATCATCTTCGTAACGCCGACTACTTGTTACGAATTTGGTCTTTTGGAGCATAACGCAATACATTTGTGCGATGGAGGAGCCAAAAGTGGTGGTTAACGCATTAGTTCCTGCACCCTGACGGCTCATCCGTCACTCTATGGTGCTATCGAGTTCCCTTATCCGATGTCAAGGGAACTCAGGTCTTCCTAAAAGCTGCCATTTTATTTTAAAGAACTTTTGGTTTAACCTTGTCGTTAACCAAGTCTGCTCGAGACTTCCGCAGCGAGAGCACAGTCCCAAAAACGTCAATGTAATTTGATTGACTGTGTAACTGCTGCAACAGTATAACCGCACAAATGAAGGTTCCCGCTCTTCCATCCGTGGAGCTGAAAGAAGAAACAGACAGTCAAGTCGGATGACAGGTAATAGCAGTCTCCTTTGGGAAGGGTTACAAGTTAGAACATCTGCTACTGTTTCAGCAACAAGCAGCAAATATATGGCGCTAATTTGCGATGACCTAAATATCCGTAGGAATGTCATGCAAGCATTTATTTATTTCAAGAACTTATATCCCGCTTGAAAACCGTGTCTGAGATGAGCCGCATTGATTTGCCCAGTTCGGACGCACCATAACAGCACGCCAATCAGATGGCTTTGTCGACCTTATGCACTGCACGCTCGAGCATGTTGACGCGTCTAAGGCGGCAGGGTCGATGAAGCGTGCACTTGTCTAAGGGTAAACATGTCAACAGTAGACTTCTATTCTATCTATAGCGCGTCGGAGGAAATCTCGTTAGTACTCTGAAGGTCTACCCCACATCGTCACTAGACACTGTCTTGTTTACTTTATCGAAAGAGTCGGAAAGTTTGTACTACCGTTAAGACCGTCCTTTGTTATGAACGCTTGCGAACGGCGAAAAAACGTCAGTCGCAGACTTTAACCTTAAGCTGGACAGGTGTGTGTGTTCACCAGTAGGCCAATGTATTTTCAACCCTCCTCTGACAGTAGTATCTGCCTCAAACTATTTTTTCCGAGACTGCAGTAAAGTCATTTATTATCGGCTGTAGCAAAGTAAGGAGTGACTTAGGTTGTTGATACCTTCACCTTGAATGCCCACCGCTCCGTATTGTGTAATTGAAGCTAGCTAACGGAAGACTACTAAGGATAAACCATCAGAGTACCTTAATGGCGTAAATCAATCCGAGAGCAGTTATCCACTCACCAATATTGGCACAAAGCTGAAAGCAACATATGGCACAGTTACGTGTTTCCGCCAATTATGCTTCATAGCCCCCTCGCATGCTCTTTCTCATGAGCACCTAGGACTAACAATGATATGCGGCCTCTCCCTTGATTCGGTCGATTCTCAGTCTTCAGGCCCTCTAACCATTTTCCCGTTTTGGATTCCAGGACGGCGTGAAAACATCTGTCGGGGTTACAAGCAAGGCTTCGGAACCAGGATTGCCGATTCGGCGGGGTCTGCGTTCCGACTTTGCATAACTAAAATTACTTCTTATTTTGGCCAGTTCCGTCAATGCTAACTTAGCGTAGGGGGGGAGGAGGGCAACGACCTCCGACAACCTTACCTATCGTAAGTACTGAAAGCCATAATCACACAACACAAATAGTCAACGGTTTATGAGCATTCTTACAAGTGCTTACTCCAACACATGTCCGAACACAACAATTTACTTTTTTACCGGGGATGTTCAAAGTATGACCCTTATAGACACTTAATAGGATTTAAGCAGCGGAGCTAACGATATCACTTGGGTTCGTTTAGTCTATGAAAGAGGAGAATGCCGCAATAACAAATCAATAATATCAGTAGCATTATAGCAACGAAAATTATATGATGCATTACTGACTTCATAATGCCCTGTTGTAAGATCAAACTGTCGTATTTTAGTTAATGCAGGTAAGAACTTGAGACGTGTCTCAACCCTCTTTGCCACGCGCCATCAACAGTCGGGTCGGACTGATGAACATCAGTCTCACACAACTTTGAATAAGACGCTATCTCCGACCTAGAAAGGGGACTGAATAGTCTGATGAAAGACCAGCTGTCTTGCATATTTTATCGAAAGAGTCGGAAAGTTTGTAAGACCACCTTTTGCTATGAATGCTTGCGGACGGCGAAAAAACGTCAGTCGCAGACTGTAACCTTAAGCTGGACAGGTGTGTGTGTTCACCAGTAGGCCAATGTATTTTCAACCCTCCTCTGACAGTAGTATCTGCCCCAAACTATTTTTTCCGAGACTGCAGTAAAGTCATTTATTATCAGCTGTAGCAAAGTAAGGAGCGACGTAGGTTGTTGATACGTTCGCCTTGAATGCCCACCACTGCGTATTGTGCAATTGAAACTAGCTAACGGAAGACTACTAGGGATGAACCATCAGAGTGCCTAAATGGCGTAAACCAATCCGACGAGAGCAGCGATCCACTCACCGATATTGGCACAAAGCTGACAGCAACATATGGCACAGTTACGTGTTTCCGCCAATTATGCTTCATAGCCCCTTCGCATGCTCTTTCTCATGAGCACCTAGGACTAACGATGATATGCGGCCTCTCCCTTGATTCGGTCGATTCTCAGTCTTCAGGCCCTCTAACCATTTTCCCGTTATGGATTCCTGGACGGTGGGAAATCATCTACCTGGGATACAAGCAAGTCGCTGGAATCAAGATTGCCAATTCGGCGGGGTCTGCGTTGCGACGTAGCATAACTAAAATCGCTTTTTATTTTGGCCAGTTCCGTCAATGCTAACTTAGCGGGGAGACAGCGACCTCCGAAAACCTTCTCTGGCGTCAGTACTGAAAGCCATAATTACACAGCACAAAGAATCAACGGTTTATGGGCATTCTCAAAAATGCTTACTCCAACACTTGTCCAAACACAACAATTTACTACTTTACTGGGGATGTTAAATGTATGACTCTTGTAGAAACCAAATAGAATGTACGTAACAGAGCTAACGATATCATTTAAGTTCGTTTACTCTATGAAAGGGGAGAATGCCGCAATTACAAATCAATAGTATCAGTAGCATCATAGCAAGGAAAATTATATGATACATTCCTGCGTGCGCAATACCGTGTGTAAAAATCAAATGTAGTTTTTCGGTTAATTCAGGTTAGAATTCTGGTAGTCTGAGGCGTGCCCCAACCCCCTAGGCCACGCGCCACTGCCATAAGTAGTCGGGTCGGATTAATAAACATCATTCTCACAAGACTTTGAATAAAACGCTACTTCTGACGTAGAAATGGGCCTATATACTTTGATGAAAGACCAGCTGGGAGCCTTCTATTTAATTGCCCGTAGTCTGACGCGATCGCATATCAGAATGCGCACTTCCTACTTTGTCTTATACCTCGCAGACAGTTGCGCGATCAGGGAAGAAATTACAGTTGCGAATCATTGTCGAGCAAAAAAGAGAGATGCGAACTTCCATTTCTGGCTTACTGAGCGCCTTAACTCAGCGATACCCCAACCACGGCTAAAAAAGCCTAATGTCTCACTGCGGGTCTGGTTAGTCAGTGAAATAAACGTATCCTTCTTTCAGCACTTGGGTCACACTCTGTGCACTACGGTCGGGAGGGTTAAACGTTATGTCGAAGTGACATGACAACGTACAGAGTTCCGGCTTGCTTTGGAACTCTTGTTCATTATTCTTACAGGACGTCAAATGACAGGGCAGTGTCTATACCAATCGTGTCTGGCGGGATACACTTAAACGTCGCCTCACAAGGTAAATACACTTTTGTTGCTCTCCTTCAGACCACGGATTGCGACAAATCTCCCTACCCACGGTGTAATGAGAATCAAGCTGTGTGAGAACAACTTAATGTTCTTGGAGGGGGGGGGGAGAATGAGCACAAAACACCTGCCCAACGGAAAGGATCATTTTGTGAACAAGAAAGGGTGTTTGCATACCTTGCGTGAATGATCGGCGGTCCAACTTTTTTGTTCAGTGAGTGGACTGCCATTTTTTCCAAGAATGCCTGAACCAATTCGTAGAATACGTCCACTCTGGGGTTTCTTTTTGTCGACCAGGACAAAATTTGCATTTGCTCTGCTGTCCAGCGCTGAAGAAGCACACAAAATAGTCTGTTTGTGTTATCTGATCTCTGATAGTTTCAGAGTAACAAACCACCTTTGGTGGTGCTAACCTTACTGTAACATCCAGTCCTCCCCGTCTAGTTCACATTATTTCTTAATGACGTTCCCCATTTATGATGATAATCAAGATCAAACATGGAGGATTTATTTTCATTTCTAGGGTCTTATTATGTTACCTCTTTTTAATGGTAAACCACATGCAAGACAATTACTACAGAATCTTGTGGCATATTGTCGTTCCAGCACACGGGCCTAAATTGAGTGGTTTCGGAGCCACTCTCCTTCCTCTACTCAGTGCTCTTACTGTTTTAATAGCCGGCGTCCGTTGTACCTTCTGATCGTTTTATGTAGAGTTAAAAACATCGAGGACGCCAGCTGACCGATGTACGTACGGCTCCAGTAAGTGCACTTCAGGTCAGTACATTGATAAGAGTGGAAACTAACATACTTGCTCAGGCTGTCAGTGAAAGAGAACGCAGATGGTAGGCTTTGTTCGCTACCAACTTGATATAGCGTCCTCGGAAGGAAGAGTGACTGCCATGCCAGAGCACAACGTCTTATGTTCACAATATATACAGTGAACTAAAATAATATTGATTTCCTGAAAATGGACTCAAAGGAAGATTTCCCAGCAGTCTACAGCAACTGCCGGCGAGCCATTAAAGACGTTGCTCCAAGCGCCTAATTGCGAAGGCGAAGTAGATAGCAGGGCGACTTGACGAGTTGGCAATGCAAGCACGGAAGCACTTGCCGTAGACAATTTTCGTCATATTTCAAGCCATTTCCCCAGAGCTCCGCGGGCCATTGGGAGTGAGCTAATTGGCCGAGATCGTTATCTATTTGAATTATCCATTCACATATCATACCCTTTTTCCCTACCACGCAAAAGCAGCAGGAATGTGAGCAACCAGCCTACTTAAATTCTTACTCAGCTACTGACTTCCTGTATGATTTTACTGGCCTGGTACAAAGTTATTGAGAGAACAAACATTATGGACAATTAGGTAGCCGATAAAGTTTCTCGATGAGGTTCTAACAATGTCAAGCTAGATGGAATTCGAATACGTCCACACAGGACTCGCGTCCTTCGGGCATTAAAGGTCGCTGGCTTTTTTGAATTCCACTACTCATTTTCTGCTATGGTTTATGACGTATGCTCATTTCGCCTCGCTCTCCTTCCTTGCATCTGTTTCTGATATTTCTTTCAAACGGATCTTCATCGCTTCTGCCTCACCTGGGTTGATTTCTCAGTTTACCCTTATTCGGAGTAATTAGTTAAAGTGTCTGTTGCTCCGTTCCATGCCCAAAATTTTACGCTTCGTTCTTCCAATTCTTCCTCAATTCATCTCTTTCTGTGCACAGAATTGACTGGCTCGGCTGCCCTGTATGCCTAGTAGGTCTATTCCAGACCCTCTCATGTGGCCGCGAAGGAACGGGCTGGACGTAAGTAAGAAGTTTACCGGAGGTGGTAGTATGACCATTTTCTCTTCCACTCGACGCCGTCAGCCAACTCACGCAGTTTATAATGATGACAGACATATGCAGCATATGCCGCACTCTCTCCTCCCGCATGCTGCCCTCCTGTCCTCCTCACACTCCACGTCGATTCGCTGCTGGGACGCGCGAGGCCTGTTATTGGCCTTGCGAATGCTCGAAGCCAATCAACGCTGCCCTTTCTCTGATTGGCTGGCGGACGCTAATTTGGACAAAGCGAAAGGCCCACACGCGCGCTGGGGGCTGATCACCACGGCAGTGGACACTAGTAACACAACTTGACTGGAGGGACCGCTTGCGGAGCTCTGTGTGGACGTTTCCTCAGCAGTTAAAGCTGTCCAACCCAATTCATCTTCCCTGACTTCTGAGTTGGGATTCTTTGTATTGACGTCCGTTGAGGACTCCCAAGGAAGCCTCTCTGGTTACTTTGAGGGAATGCGCTGAGTCGACCCCCTATGCCATGCACCAGTCCGCTATCCTAACCGCTTTAAATTCTCGTGCTGGATTTGTGCGAAAGTGATTGGTGGGACTCAAAATCCCGTCGACGCGTGCCACATCCGACCCGACCCCCCTACACATTGGGGGGGGGGGGTTGGATCTCACGTGCGTGAGAGGGCCATAGAGGCCACCTGAGAAGACCAATTGCTGTCTGACTCCCAGCCCTCGAGTTGGCACAAACAAATCCTGGGCTGACTGGGAGGTCTGAACTGAATCGTCATTTGGCAAAATTCCCAGCCGCGGCTTTCTGCACACCATGGTAGTCTTCAGGGAGTCAGATCGTTTAAAGTGAGGAAATGCGCTGGAGTGCCATGAGAATAAAGGTAACCTGGCCAGTATCATACTGCTCTCCCTTATGCATCGGTCCGCTGTCTGAGCTGGTCAGTATGTGATGCTGTAATTGGGATCATGTTGCCGACGTGGAGTGGGCCTGCGTCCAGGCGTGCTGTCACATTTCAAATGTGTAGCATTTGTTACGGAATGGGTGGGCTCTGATCGATCCGCCATGTTCGTCCAGCGTTTCTTCCGCGTGGTCCGTTGTGGGGGTAGTCAGCCAAGTAAAGCTTAGCAGAAACGCTGTAAGATCTGTGATTCAAACGCCGGCTCGGTTGGTCATTTATACTGCCATTCGGCCATTCGAATTGTGATGTGAAGGTTTCGTACATGTTATCAGCAGTATGCTACATTACGTGAGAATGAAACCTACCAATCCCGTATACTTACGGGGACAAAATATGAACGATTCCGTCCGGTTCTAGAACACGCAGTCCAGAGCAGACACATATGGTCGCATAGTTACGAGCGATCGGTCATCAATAAGTTCTACCGACACTGTCATTGAAGACGAAAATAGAAGGTAGTCAGGACCAAAAGAGAAAGTAAAACAGCGCCACGCAGGCCAAGCCGACAGCGAAATGCACGCGTGAGACCAGCTAGCCAAGTAGCGTGAGAGGGGGGCATGATGTAGCCGGCCTGCTGCTTTCGCTCGCACGTGCAGTCCTGCCGAGCATTTCTGCTGTTTTCACGATCGGATAATCATGCAAAAGAAAACAATCAACGACCACTACGCCTGGGTTCAGGGTGTTTTGGAGTTAGAAGACGAGGTGGCGGGCATACGTAGCTTTCGATAAATTCTCGTCGGGCCAGTACAGTTATATGGGAACGGGTTAGAAGTAAAACATGTGAGTGATAAGAGAAATCGATAAAAGTTCGCCTTAAAACACAGACTGGGTGTGGAAATGTGGGGGAGGGGGGGGGTAATATCAGTCACTTTTAGGGGCGGGGTGAGAGCGGTTGAGCGCGGAGAGTTGCAGCGTTAATCGACCTTCGACTACTGTAGGCGCGGAGCCTAAACGTGGTTCTTCTGGGCGCATAAGATTTGCTTTCGTAACCTAATGGCGGCGGTTTCTGCTGTCGCTAACAGGCGCTGGCCTAGTAGCCTACGGTTAGCTCGATGGGACCTTATAAATCACACCAAAAGCTTCGTTGGGGGCCACACGAATTCCGGAATCGACGATATGCGCGAGAATGGTGCTGCTTGTGCTACTCGTTTCGCCTTTTCCCAGCCATGTCGGGAGGTGTGCGCCGACTCGTCGTTATGGGTCGAACGGCTAAGGCGAGATCCAGCGCGTTCAGTCCACATGTTTTTCTGAGGTCGGGAATTACTTTAGGCCTGTCCCCGAAACTAGCCTTTAATCTGCCTCATCCACCCAGCGGAGTTTAACCGTTGGTGACTTGACAGGCGCTCGCCGCACAAAAAATACTCACCAAATCCTGGGAACTTACATGTTTTGAGTCGAGCGGAGTTATTTCCAGAACCCGGGAGACCCAGCGTGTGTTGTTACAGATGCCGGAGAGGAGGACGTTGCAAGATCTGACACCGTCTGAGAAGGTTCTTCCACCCCTGTCTGGCCAGTACTGTTGCAGTGGAAATTGCTCGGTTTCACACAAACTGCAAAGGGGAAGATGTGGAAGGAGGCTGAAATTGCCGCAAAAGTTTTCATTTTCTGACTTCAGAGCGCAGGCGTCTGTTACTATCCGCCTAACTACCGAAGTAGGATAAGATGTTTAGTTCTGCCTTCACCAGAGTTTTCGTTCAGAGACCGGGGCAAAGCATTTGGCCTTGAGTGTTCAGTCAGGTTTGGCTGGTTAAAACTTTGTGGTGGCCACCGTGGTCAAGGACACAATGGTTGACAATGGGCTAACTCGTGAAATATCAACGGAAATTCCGAAATGCTTTTTCGTCTCCAAAAGATCAATTAAGTAGGTTTGTAAAACTAGTTAGCCTGCAAAATAATTCTATAATATTTCACTTACCTCAGGATGCCGGCTTTCGAATGAACTTCCTTTAGGATGCATGCACGAACTACACTCTGTAAAAAAGGACTACTTATCTAGCATGAATTTTTCTCTTTGATTTCCGATGCCCTTAAAAATTTCGTTATATTTCATCTAAAACATGCATAAAAATATTCATTCGTTTGCTCAGTCTGTAGTAAATTACGTCTTCTTCCAAATTTATACTCGAAGGAAGGGTATAATTCAGTTTTCAACCCGCTCTACCGTTACACTTAGATTCAGGCTTCCAAACTACAAGCCTTACATTTTTCGCGTACGGAAAACCACACATTTCTCTACGGTAATAAATGGGACCCATATAGCGTTCATAGAATTTAGCAGTGGATTTGATCCATATTGTTAACCTTACAAGTCACATTGGTAAATGCAAACGTAGGACGATTTATGAACGGCCATTTCACGGTATTTAAAAGTCCCACAATCAGAAACTTTTTAAAACCGAATTATTGTTCTCTTTCGAATATAAAATTGGAAGATGGCGTAATTATTCACCGATTGAGCAAAAGAATGAATATTTTTATGCCTGTTTTCCACGAAAAATAAATGAATTGTTAGGGGCATCGAAAATCAATAAGGAAAATGCATGATACATAAGTAGTCATTTTTTACACAGCGTAGTTTTTGCATGCAGTCGGAAGGGAGTTCATTCGAAAGCCGGCATCTTGAGGTAACTGAAATATTATGGAATTATTTTGCAGACTAACGAGTTTTACAACCCTACTTAATTGATCTTTCTGAGACGAAAAGGCATTTCGGAATTTCGGTTGACATTTCATTAGTTAGCCCACCTACTGTATTTGGAGTTTCTTTCAGAAGTATCGGAGGGGATCGTCCAAATGCTCAAACTGGCGTGTTCTACTCTACGCCTGTTCTGTTTGTGAACTCTAGTACAACATCCCGCCGAGTCTCGAAGTAGCATAATCTATTCACTTTTGAGGCCGGGAACCACAGTTTCGACGGCACCATTTTGGTTGGAGTTTCGGAGGTAAGACTCCCCCAGCCCCAGACCCTCAAGAGGTATGATGAAAGCATCAGATAATTCAAATTTTGACACTGCAACTAGTATGAGGCATGTACAATCAGTGGCCGAATTTCCCATTCAAGACCTTATTCGCCTGCTGCCACCGGAGTACACTCTTGCGCTATCAAATTACGATCATTCATTCCACATTTAATACCGCGCCCACATCCTAACCTATAAATATTGTGTTAGCTGGTAAAGAATATGAGGTGCTGCTTTTAGTCCAGATAGTTGCAACAAAAGTCAAATTATGCAGGGACGTATAAAAACCACAAATGTGCACGTCTTTCAATGAAGGCAAACTTGGAGGATTACTTCAGAAGTCAGCTTATTTCCACAACCCCTATGAGACCAAACAGAAAAGCCACGTCTGACAACTCAATTTGCCGTTGCATCTGGTTTGTGACATGGACTTTTAATTCTTTTGAAGAAAATCGCGGATGTAGCTCGCGTCTTCCGAGATTCAAGGAGTAGACCCTACAAAGAGTGGCATTACAAAGCATCGTTTGACGATGGAATTCTTCCCACAGACTGGAAGTTGGACCACATTACACCAGTGTTCCGCACCAGCGTCTCCTTTACAAGTTTTCAGTCATGGGCATCGGCGACAAACTTCTTAAATGGATCGACAATTTTCTCGTCGGCCGTTCTCAAATTGTTTTCGTGGAGCAACAGCACTCAAGGGGCCCCGTGTTAGCAGATTATGTTAAACGCTGGAAAGTAAACCAGAATACTGCCGACGAGGCCAACTTCCAAAAAACTCTTCGTCGACTGAAAGAGTGGTCTCCCAGATGGTCCCTATCCTTCAGTTTCAATAAATGCGCCATATGACGTCCAGGAAATCGAAATCGGATCCATAATACGCCGCAATGTTATTCCAGCGAGATTCCACCCCTAGAAGCAGAAACTCAGAGAGATTTCGGATTTCGGATGACAAACACCTTAAAAGCCTTCTAGGCAATGCCATGAAGCAGCTTAAGCCGCAACTTCAATGCTGTACGCTATCAGGCGGGCATTCGCAGTTTTCGATGAAGAATGCTTCTCCAAAGTCTTTGTCCGGCCGAAGCTGGAATACGCAACCCAGGCCTGGAGACCCTGGACGCGGGTTTGACTAAAAATAAGAGTCGCGGATGATATGTCTACTGATTGAATGTAAGTAGCTGGTTTATCGTCGTGATCCATTTTATCCGCGACTCCTATTTTTAGTCAAACCCCCGTGGACGCAGCAGCGTTGCAATCTACTCGAGAGGGTGCAGAGGCGAGCCAAAAAACTAGTAAGAGTTCCGAGTACACTGCTTTATGAGACCCGCCTTAATAGCCTTAAACTTCAACCTCTGAGTTATAGGCAGTTGTGGGGTGATTTATTACAAACTTTCCGTATCGTGCGTGGCTTGGACTGCGCCCTCCGGTGTGACTTTTCTCAACTTTGGACGACAAATAACCTCGTGTTCCCAAAGGAAGACTGGATGTGAGAAAGTATTTTTTCTCCAACCTTGTCGTTGAACCGTGAATGACCTGCCTCGGGGGACTGTAACGTCTCCGTCTGTGGAGACATTTAAATATTGGCAGAAGGGCGCTCACCGATCGTTCATACGGAACTCACTCGTTCCGTCATCCGGACAGACATCTTTTGCACCAGCAAGCGGACTACATGAGTTTTTAACCAAAGAAAACCAGCGTCCTATGTGAATCCATGTCTGCATTCACTTGCTGTTTGAATTTCTTCATGTTTTTGCTAATTTTTTTAGATTTTTATGTACAAATGGGGAGTTCAAAGGCGTAAGCCTATTTTCCTCAAATATATTGACACTGAATTGTCGCTGATCGAATTTGGGTAAGATGTGGTTTGGTGTCCCCATTTGGTGGACACAATACTGTTGGGGTTGGGATCAAGGGTTAGGGGTTAGGGTTCGAGGTTATGGTTTAGGCTTAGGGATCATAGTTAGGGGTTAGAGCTAGGGTTAGGGTTAGCTCAACTATTTTTCAACCACTCAAAGTACAACCGTTCTTTCCCAATAGCATTTCTTTCGCATATAACTACTTGGCCTAGTCGCCTTTGCGTTTTCCGGCCCCACCTGTAAACACACGGTAGATGGGGTAACTCATGAAATGTTGACCGAAATTCCGAAATGCGTTTTCGTTTCGAAAGTCTTAAGTAAGTAGGCTTGTAAAGCTAATCATCGACCAGCATTATTCTATAATAATTCAGTTACCTCAGGATGCCTGCTTTCGAACGAATTTCTGTTCGGCCTCAATCAAAAACTACACTATTTAAAAGATGACTACTTAGGCAGCATGTAATTTTCTCATTGATTTTCGATGCCCTTAAATATCAATTATATTTCATGAGAAACATGCATAAATATATTTACTCCTTTGTTCAATAGGTAGCAAATTACGTCTTATTTCGATTTTATGCTCGAAACAGGGTATAATTCGGTTTTAACAAAGTTTCTAATTGTGGGACTTTTACATACCGTGAAATGGCTGTTCATTAAACATCACGTCCATGCATTTACCAATGTGGCTTGTAAAGTTAACAATATGGCTCAAATCCATTGCCAACTTTCATGAACCCCATATGGTCTTCTCTTAACACTGTGGAGGAATATATGGATTTCCGTACACGAAAAATATGCGGCTTGAGGGTTGGAAACCCTGAATGCAAGTATAACGGCAGATCGGGTTCAAAATTATGCGGGAAATTGAAAAGTTTTTGAAAACCAAATTATACTCCTTCTTCGAGCATAAAAATTGGAAAAAGACGTAATTTTCGACTGAATGACCAGAAGGATGAATATTTTTCTGCATTTTTTCCATGATATATAATTGACTGTTTTAGGGAATCGAAAGTCAATGAGAAAAATGCATGCCACATAATCAGTCATTTTTTGCAGATTATAGTTTTGCATGCAGACGGACGGAAGTTCGTTCGAAAGCCGGCATCCTGAGGTAATTGAATTATTATAGAATTAAGCTGCTTAATGATTCTTACTTACACCGCCTGCACGATGGTGTCAGCGTATTGAGGCCTTTTGAGCCGAGGCCGGAAGGGGGAGCGTCCAGAGGGGTTCAGAGTGGGGTGTGAGCGCTGTTTGAAAGTCAAACACGCGGAGTGCGTGCGATCGTTTTCAGACGGTTGCCGCGGCGAGCGATCACCACCTGGAGTCAGCCAGGGAAAGCAGGCTGACCCTATCGACATCTTCTGACAACGGCGCTCCAGACTCGAGAACCGAATAACCACTGCCTCAGCTGCTGCTGCTAGCACCCGTTTATGTAGACCTTAAAAGCAGTGTGCTGGTGCGTATCACACGCAAGTGGGAAGTGTGCGTCTCGGATCCTCTGCTGCATGTGTGATCCGAGGTCGGTGCGCCAAGCACTGCGGCTTAGAGAGCTGCCGATTGACGCTCCAATTCAGTCCACGCAGTCTGCCCAGTTGTCTGTGGGTTTGTGTGAACTGGCAGGCTGGTGGGCTGAGAGCCCGGCTGAAACAGCTCCTTCTTAACGTGATCTCTGGCACGCCCAGTCACCGTTGTCTGAAATCCCGGAGCTTGTTTCTAGGGAACCAGGTCGTGCACGCGGCGCGCGCAAACTGTGTCACTGAATGTGGCAGCCACCGCGCACATTCTCCGCACCTGTCACCTGCCCGCCTCGGATAGTGACTGCGGCCTGGTAATAAGAAGGGAGCGTGAGGTCGACATCTCAGCGCATTTTCCTCACTACAAACGGTCTGACGCGCTTGAAACCATCACAGTTCGCTAAAAGCCGTAGCTTGGAACGTTGCCAACTTACGGGATAACTTGGACCTCGTAGTCGGCCCAGTGTTGTATGTTTATGTGGAGCGGTCGACCGGTGGTCTAAGAGTCAGGCTGCAATGGCTTCTTCTTGATATGGCCTTTATGGCACTCCCACTGCGTGGGATCCGGGTCGGGTCTCGCGGAACTTCTAGGAGGCAGCTCCGGCCGCGCTGGCCACCTGCACCCTCCTCCAGTCTTCTTGACTCTGTCTAGACACCAGACCCAGGTGGGGAGGAGGCGGAGGAGGAGGGAGTGTGGTAGATGCTGTGCAAGTCTACTGTCATTATGGACTAATTCCCACAAAAGTCACAGTGCCTGCCCCCGACTCGCTGTAGAGCACGCAGTGGGCGGCGTCGGCAACGACGGTCGAACTGCTGTGCTGTTGTTCGGTGGATAACTTGAAAGGTTTCTTTGTTATCAGCTTGCTGGTTCGTACCGATTAGATGTGCGAGACTATAATTTGAAATCTATCGATTTTCCTATTTACCTTAGCCAGACAGGCATAAGTTCGCACAATCTCTTTTCTAGACGCCTCGTTGCACGGCCAACGTACCCCGTTTCTCAGGCGCAGGTGAGTGAACAAATACAAGTCGATGTAGCCTGAAACGGCACTCGCTGTCAACCGTAAAAAGGGAGAATTTGCGAATTTATCCGCCGCAGGGAGGGCACTCGTGATAGCTGTCCCAACAGGCGATTAGACTTTAACAAAAATTGCTTGGCAGCCATTTAAAAAGCCAAAGTTTGTTCAAGGTGATATGGGAAGGACGTTCATAGACCAATAAGTTTAGTGAGGGTTGCCGATTCCGTTGCCATGGTAGTCCAGTCTGTAGGCCTGGCAAATAGTTGCATAGCAACGAGCGATCAGTAATTAAGAAGTGTTAACCGCAAGAACGAGGTAGAGAGAGAGAGACTGGAATGGACGTTTCTGGTTCAGATTGCGGACTACTTTGGCTCGGGTTAGGGTATAGCTAACTGACGAGGGCAAAAGAACCGGAGCTGTCCATCCCAGTTACTCTTCTCGATTTCCAGCGCAAACAGAAAACCAGTTGAGGCTTACTTGTCCAGATGGATAATCAGCGGGGAGCATTGTTGCGCCACCATGGTTAGAAATCCTGCACACGTGTCCTCCATGGGGGTTGTTGCGACAATAAATTCAGGAACGGTGCCAAAGTCGGGGACTGTGGCAGAGCCCTCGGTCGGGTGGAATCTACATCTGGTCACATAGCTGGCGTCAATATAAACAGCCTCATAGAGACTTGCCTGTGGGTCGAATGAAAGTGTAAATACCACGCACAAACCGTCGGCATAAAGAATGCGCATGTTATAAGTGATTGCAGAGGAATGAAATGTGAACTGGACCTACGTGTGGGAGAACTGTTCGTGGTGCTGCCCGGTACTGAACCCAACATCGGTCGAGCAGAACCACCGTCTGGTCATCTGTAAACAAGTGATTGTATAAATATTTAATTAAAGTGGACATTTTGTGTTTTGCTAGTTAATAAAACTCTAACCCGGCTAATGAGGTGGAGAGTCAAGCCGTGTGTGGCACGCGTCTAAGGCCATCTCCAGTTAATTGACAGGTTCAGAATTCGACTTGAGCAGGGGAGATATAAGAGTAGGCAAGGCCAACACTGGTGAATTAATCCTCACGTCGCATTAGCGCACATACCTCACTGTAATCACTAACATACGTGAATCTGTTAGGACACACAAAGAGTCGTGATTTGGGGGGCTGGGTAACCCAACCCTCCAAGGGCAGATAGTCAGACCGCGATGGCCCCTACTTAATATAATCTTTATGGCCCTTTCAAACCGAAATAAAGATGGCTCTTTGCATTGGTAATCGCCTACATGCTGATCAATTTCCTTTTTCTCTCGTTTTGTCGGCCATTCGGGGGATGTTTGGTGGGCTTTTTAGATGCGTAGGTTGTGAGACACCGCCTCGTTGAGTGGAGGTGGTTGAACTTCCTTCGTGAGGGGTTGTCCTGACGGACCTTGCCCCCCACCCCCCGACTGTGCTCGTCGTCTGACTGTACCTGCCCGCTTGTGGCCAGCTTGCCCTAAGCGCTGAGAACGGAGCGATGTAGGACTTCGTACGCTGGAGGAAGGTCCATATACCCATTGATGGAGTTGACATCGTAGTACCACAACTCAAGTGTTTTGTGCACGAGGTGACTTCTTCAGGCGTTTAAGGCAGTCTGTGACCAGAGCAAGTCAATCCAAAATACACTGTCGAGATCATAAACCCGTTATACGTGCCCAGGTTGCGCGCTGACAGAAAGGAAGATCCGCATTTCTCTGTCTTGATCGTTACACTGCCCTTCGCTTACATTCGTGCTCCAGACTGCGAATCAGATTTGCACGCCGCGACCTTGATGAACGCCTGGGCCCTCCTAGGGGGCTAGCCCAAGTTGAAGGATCGATGGTCTGTTCGCTAAACAGCTCCATCACGTTCTTGAAGTCACCATGCTTCCCGGCAGGAAAACGGAATGCGGCATTGGCTCGGGATGTGGAAAGCAGGCAAACATACAAACGGTCGAAATGGTCAACTGCACCCCGATCCCCCATTCTATGACATCTTACATGCGGACAAAAACGAGTGATAGTCAGCGAATTCAGAGTTGCGTTCATCCTGAGATGACAATGAGACGAGGATGTCGCTGAGGTGCGTTCTTCTTCCTCCGTTTTACAACATGACAGTGGACTGGCGTAGGGTTTTTAATCAGCACGACTTAGAGTTGGGAAGATCACGCAAAGTGCTATGTCTGAATAGAAATTAGAAACCAGTCCAGGTGGTGCCATGCCCCTCTGAATATACGGGTAAGATTGCAGTTGGTAGCCAGACATTATACTTTGATACCGTCGACGTACGTACTTGTTATCAGCAGGTGTGCTTATCTTGTCTAGGGAACTTGTTATCAGTACCTATGTTCTTACTGAGTTAGGCAGGTCGCCCGTTTCGACCAGACTGTCGGGTTTAGTGGAGGATTAGGGTTAGGCGTAGGTTAAGTTTTAGGATTAAGGTTTGCGTTTTGGGGTCAGGTCTCAGTGTTAAGGGTAGGGTTTGGATTCCTAACAGGGTTCCCGTTAGGGTTACGGTTAAGGTTGAGGTTAGGGTTAAGGTTAGGCTTAAGGTTAAGGTTAGGGTTGGGCTTAAGGTTATGGTCAGGGTTAAGGTTAGGATTAGTGTTAAGCTTAGGGTTAAGGTTAGGGTTAGGGTTAAGGTTAGGGTTCTGGCTGGGTTTTGGGTTGGCGTTGGGTTTTAGGATTTTGATTACGTTTTGGTTTTGAGGCTTAGCGTTACGCTTTAGGGTTGCTCTGGGGGTCGGATTTTAGGGTTGCGGGTTGGTTTAAAATTTCTGCCATTATTTTACCTATTTAAAACTTCCCAGAACTCTCCTTGGAAAATTTACTTTTTCCATAAACTCTAGCATTCCTCCACCAGCCCTTCCATTACCCCACTCATATAACCCCCCTTTCCCACTATTCCCACACGCCAGGGACTTGACTGTTCGACTCGCCATTCATGGCTACCAACTGCGATTTAACCTAAGGGCGATTCGCGGCTGACAAATCCGGGTTTGGAGGTCGAAAACCAAAAGATTCATTGACCAAAAGATTGCATTCACTGTCCAGGGCACTGTGAGTTCCATCCATGTTTGATTAAATGTCTGAGGGTAGGAGAGGAGCACTTTGTCTCTCACTGATGTTTGCATCATACGGATCTACCGTAATTGCATCAGCTACCGATACTGTCGCGTCTTTCAATAACCATTTCCCACAAGGAAAACGCGCCGGTTGCATAGATGCTGCATCTTTATGGGCCTCAAAAGCGCTCTGCTGCTGCCCAGAATAGCCAGATGGATCGCTTCATGTCGAGAAATGGCAACCATTCCACCGGAACTGGAAATATTTTCCTGGTACAGGCTAGATGTCGTTACTGTCTGGAATAGGATAAAACAAAACCACGTCACATTGCTCACTCACAACCCGCAGAAATGAACTAGAACTAGGATTCCGCATTATGCGGGGTGAATCCGGAACCACTGTTACACGGTATTTGGAAATTTGGGAAACAGGGTGTGATTGTCAGAGAATTCCGAGTTTCGATCGTCCTGAAATAACAACAATGGGAGATCATAGGAGGGGACGGGGGTGCGCCCTTTGTAACCGATTTACGATTCTGTATGTTTTGCAGCGTAAAAAAAGATTCCCTGTACTTAACCGGACTTGGAGTTCAGAATACGGCGTAAGGTGTCGGGCAAGAAGGTTACCCATTATGGGTGCGTATTTGTAACTTTCTTCAGGTTGGGGCAAAACTATTAGGACCGATAGATTACACTTTAAATTGAGACTGACAAACCCCAGTTTGCAGAGAAATGCCGACAAAGGTAAAAGATTTGAATGGCTTTATCTATCTTAGTAAAAGTTGTCCGCCAGCCACGCTTAACCAGATGGAAACGGTAGGCAGAAGTTGTAAAAAGTTGGTGCAGAATAACCGGCGTTGATGACCAAGCAACCGTAAGTGCGCAGAGTGATTTGCAAGTGTGTGCAGTCCTCTAAGACTAACCCTAGTCCTAACTCAATCCGCCTGCCCCTAACCCTAATTCAGACCATTAGCCCGTGACCCTAATTCGTAGCCCTAGTCTCTAATCCTGAACACTTGGCCTATAACATTTATTCTAACGACTAATTCCTAGCCCTAACCCATAGCTCTGTTCCCTAATCCTAGCCCCAAACCTTAATCCCTAACCATAACCTTCACCCGGAGCCCTAACCCTACCCACATAACCATTACCCTAACCCCTCATCCTCGCCCTAACGTAATTGTGAATCATAACCACAACCGACCATCATCAAAACACAGCAAATTGAAAATATCCGCAAACAGTGCCACAACAACTGAAACTGATATTAGTAGGAAAGTGAAAAGTGGTTGGCCAAAGGAAGGCCACGTTTCTGAGCCCCAGTGCGATTGTCACTAGTCCACTGGAACCAGAAACGTTTTTCCAGCCAAGGTTGTCTGTTTTTCCTGTCTGAAATGTGACAAAGCAAATGCAGATTCTGAATTCCAGGCAGGTGCAAATGGGAGAAGTGATTCTTTATAAGGGCGAGTCTCCTAAAGATGGATTTAGAAGCTGTTTTATGCACTTGGTCTGTGTTTGGTTTAGGCTGAATTAGCTCAATCGGAAGTAGGGTTGATATTAAATGTCGTAACCAATTGATCTCCCCTGCAGGATTTATTGAGCCGGGTCCACCATAAAGTGTCTCATATGTCTCCGCTGTCAGAACTCCGATCGTGACGTCAAGGTTGCTCGACAGCGAGTCTCGGTGACCGCGACCTCGTCGTCTGTCCAGGCCAAACCCTCAAGGTCACCTTTAGATGACTCAGAAGCTAGCCCGGGGGTCCCCCGAGCTCTGGTTAGCCCGCTTCCCCTCCCTCCCCCCCAATTGGGACGTCCTCCACCCCATGAGCCGTCGCTATGTCTCTCGGGCGGTGTTTAGACGGACGCTTTCGAACCCCTCCGCCAGCTGAGGTCAGCCGGGTGAGCCCAGAGAGGCAACAGTTCTGACGACGGAGGCATCCCAGGATGAGTGGAGCTCCCCCAGGTGTATGACGCGGTCTTCTCCTTGACTTCACTACAGACACTTCGACGCATCCACCGCTGACGGCTGTTGTGGAAGGTCGGCCTGTGGAACGACGACGTCTCTCCCCTCCGACACTTCGCTGACAAGCATCCACCCACTGTAGACGTCTTCAGGTGCAACTATGCTGCCACCGCCGTAGTTTCCGTTCAACACTCGTCAGTCATCTCAAAAAAGATGAGAGGGAGACAAACGTCAAGCCGTAAAACGACTGTCAATCCTAATGAGCAAAATTTTCAGAAAAACATGTCAACACCTGGAGGCCGTTAAAGAAAGAATGGCCAACTTACATGGAGGAAAGGCCGGGTGTCGTGTCTTCGAGGGGAACTGTTCGCCGAAGTGCGTAGTAAGGCCACAGTACTGTTCCTGATGCTTCGACAAAATTTCCAAGAGCTGGAGAAAAAAAGGGAGAGTACATTTGTTCCCTATCGGTGGTGTTCCCGTCAGATCAGTAGCGAAAACGAATCGGGAAGCCAGGTGACTACCTGGACACAGTTACCACAACAGTCGTCCCGTTTATATGGTGAGGGGACTGAGTCACCACAAGTAATTTAAAACGTTCTCCTACGCGAATGAAATCGTAAAACTACTGCAGTTATGGCGTCCACTGCCATGCAGTAGGCATTATTCTACGCAGAGGATACGCCCACCTGATGGCGTCTGTGCACCACCGCACGACTACCGTCACCAGTCTTTTCGATCTGCGGTCGCTAACTGACGGAGAGTTAAGAAGACGTTGTTGGAGCTCGTCAAGCCTGTGACCTGCCCAGTTGAGTAAAGGCCTCAGGCGAAGTAAACGATGTCTCTAATGTTTGCATTAGTCCCCATCCCTTGCAAGCGTCGACTGCATTTTCATCAATATCCCGTTCCCCCGTCTAGGAGGCGGAAAAGGACACGGTTTTTCCGAACTGGCGGGCATTTTCTCGTGGATTGTAGCCCCCACCTGCTCCCCTCCGTCCCCCCCCCCTCCCCAGGAAAATGGTCCTTCAGACCACCTATAATCCTGGTAAAGCTATTTTTCCACCGTCATAGCGCTTAACATTCTACAACCTATTTACCTATGCCTCGGTTTTACTTACCGCCTAGTCCTTCCCACTTTTTTTTACCCTAAAGCAGCTTTTATCAACAAAGGGAACATAACCTTACTAGGCGTACCTTAGAATCCGGGTTCTTGCTACTTAAGTGCCCAGCTAGCGGGCCGCGGATTCAGCCATCTCACAGCATCATGGAGTGTTAGAAAATTAAGACATATTCCTAAATGAAGAAGAAGAGTCGAGCACTGGAACATTTTTTTCATAGTCCTGAACTCTCAGACTCGTACAGGAGTTCATCTTCAGAGGAAGTAGCAGTAGCAGCAGCAGAACATGCGACAGTTATCTGGCATGTAGACCAATCATTGAACGACGGCGCAGGGCTCTGTACGCCGGCGACAGATCGATAAATCGATTGACCGAGTTCTCATCCGAGGCCCAGGCTTCGATCAATTCTCGGCCTGTTTTGTTTCCGGCGTGGTCGACTATTTTGGTGGCTGCGAAGTTAAACTCGCGACCCATTTCGTAGGTGTGAGCGGCCACTTGTGATAATGCGTCGCCTCGTCACCTCGTCCTAAATGTATGTGATAGTTGGGCGCGCCTAACCAACAGCAGATTGTCCGGCTACTCACGCTGCTGACATCTACCACGCGGTGTGCGGCAATTAGCCCCGTGATTATGCGGGCCTTGCGAAACGAAAACTGCTAACAAGTCTGCGAGACCATTATATGGCTCGACGTCGGAGAGACCGGCCCCGCTTCACCTCCCGCGGCTGCAGTGGGGATTTTATCGACATCGGAATTCCTGGTGGAGGCGATGAATGTATTGTCAGAAGGGATTGGAGCAGGGGATGCCGAGCAGGAATTTGTTAGCCCGTGGGTTCAGCTTCCTGACTGTAACTCAGGTTTCCTCACAATGTGGCCAACACATCAGATGCAAAATCTGCACATTCCCCGAAATTATCCAAATAAACATCTGCTGAATGCTTACAGACCACTCGCGATACGACATCCTGCATATCTGAGGCTCTCGACTTCGCAAGGTTGAAAGGATCTTTGACTGTAATAAAAAATATAATTTGCAACCGGAAAAACAACTAACCCGATAATGCATGTTAATATGGTCATTTGGATTATCAACGAGGCGCTTTACGTAGTTTGAAAAGCTCTCGACAGCGACGGGTGGGATTCTACAAGGTGTTGAAAAGATGCGTGTTCAAATAAATATCTGAAAAAATGAAAGATAATTTTGCACAGATTACACCCTATTCCGCAAATACAGTTCATGTATCCAAATGTCGCGCGCCTGTGCTTGTGTGTTCCAGTAGACAATCAGTAAAGGTATGCAGCAAGCACTTTATATCTTCAATAACCGCGTCTATGGCAACTTAAAATACCATGTGATTATGGCATAGTGCCTACTGATATCGGCCTTTTCTAGACGGTGCTCATGGCCGGTCAGATGTGTTGGTCATGATCGGCCACATTCTTTCAACATTCAGCTAGCCGGTTTGCAGACGTGTGAGACATGCAAGAACACCATGAAACGCACAGATCTGCCATCGCGCATGCGCGAGCGTGCCAGAAACTTGCTCCGTACTGAAGGTCTCAGTAGCGTTCTTTTAATACCTCTTGGACGAGACCTCTTTCGCGTCGTCGGACAAAACCGTGTAAGTAGTCGGGATAAAGGCACTTTGCCCGGTGGTGGAACGTTGAACTGCAGAACGCCCAATGGAAAAAGAACCCGGGATAAAACCCCAGGCTTCGCAAGCCCGGAGTTGGGTATGGCTGGCTGAGGACAGCTAATAAGACAGAAATAGCCATGCTTCGTGGGCAATGCTTTTCTGCTAATAAGAAATGTTCGCTAGAATTGTAAACTGTAGTCAGACATTCTGGTTTATCAGTCACGCTAATACAAAAAAGGTTTCAGGATTCTTGCTGTCGTCTCTAAAACGTTTGCTACATAGAGGATCACGAGGCAGAATCACGGCTTTTCTCCGTTCGGCCGCCGAACATAAGGCTTCCTACGACGCTTGCGTATGAAAAGCTTTCGACAACCGTTGGCTTTGAATAGGGCATTCAGGTACTTGGCCTCCGAAACGTCAGAAACAATACGATTTTGTCCATGAACTTGCTCCCTCTTGTTCATCGTCATCTTCGGAGGGTGTTGAACGTGATGTATATACATCACGCACCGATGCGCAGCTGTTGGTTGGGATTGGGAGAGAGAGCCCACAAGGCACAACGAAACGAGTGAGTTCGATAAGAACGATCAGTGAGCGCCCATCTACCGTTGTATATTCCCGATCGAAAACCGACAGGACAACGAGCCTGTGGCTCAGTGGTTGAGAGGGTTGGGCTTCTAACGAACAGGTCGCTGGATCGAGCCCCAGGGATTGCACACCTGTGGGTTGGGCATGACTGGCTAGCAACGACTGAAATGGCTACACCAGTCTCCGTTGCCTTTGCCTACATTACGCGCCGTTGTCTTCAATGCGACTACCTCCGAGATCTATTAAGCACTAATATACAGGAGGTGGCACAACTCATAGTATTTATAGCGATGACTCAAGTGAGTAGTATGGTGTTCATGTAGTGCTGACATTATATGTCTATTAGATTAATTTGAGGAGAGGAATGGCTTTCATTGACAAAGAGGTCTTTGGTGACGTAATTTCCAATGTTGTTGTGTGTATCACAGGCTAAAGCCACTTGCAAGTGCGCGTTTCCAATTAGCGTCTTCTGAATGGGAGCATCTGAGTTTGGATGCTTGAAAATCTGGTGAGGTCACATTTGAGAAATCGTGTTATTCTCATAAAAACGAGAGGCGATTTCAGCTTTAAGAGTGTTGATTTGCAAATTGGTGGCGCCTTCGTCGTAAAACGCAGTAATAAATTTGTTCAGCACAACTTTTTTCCCACCACAATGACCGATAAAAGACGAAAACAAATGAAAGGCGCGGTTATATCGTACTCCCAAAGTAGGCACTAACTGCACTCGCAAACACGCGTGTTTCACCGAGGTTTCTGTCTCTGTCTGACGAAAACGTGAGTAATTTGATGCGTCGGTAGGTTCCCTGACGTTGCCTGTGTTTGATTCTTCAATTTAACCGTTCATTGAAATTTTGGGATCAATTCAAAAAGTCATATACCTGACACTTAGCTCTCATTAATACTTTTTGAAATTAAAAGATTGTATTGCGAAAAGTGTCCGTGACATGACGAATAACAAAGACGTCGGGGCAGTTTGCGTCGGCCGTAGGATTTGAGCGTATACGGATATTAGCATCGGATGGGTTGCTGTGTACCTTGTTAGGCAATATTTTCAATATTATTCAGGCCATATAGGCGAATTATTAACGATAGATGTATGCCCAAAAATAAGCAAGGTGGACCAGAACGGTCTACAGGCAAGATGGACGACGATCTTGTTTGTCAACTATTAGGTCTATTCATAGAGGGTACTTGTCAATGTTCCCTCATAGCAAAAGGCCGCGAAAAAGTCATTTTGAACAGGAAACTAACTAGAGACTGTTTTTTTTAATTTGTTGAGGAACATATTGATCACAGACTATCATCGGAAAGACCATTTACTTTACTGATGAGGTCTTATGTTTGGACAACCCTCCGAAGTCGTCCTAAAGGAACTTTCCACGAGAAGAGAATCTACCGGTTGCAAAGTTGAAGAACTCCCGACGACTGGGAAGCTGACAGATGCCATAAACAGCAAAGTGTTTATCTATACCGTCAAAGATGCCTTCGAATGCAATGTCATTAACCGAAGGCAAATGGACAAGATGACGTTGCGGAATAATGCTCCTTTTCACTGCTCAAAGGGCGTATGATTCCGATGCACCTCACGACTATAATTTATTTTTTAGATCCCACAACCATCCACTCCGCCTACGGTTTGAGAAGCATTTCCGTCCCTGAAATAAAACACTTTCCAATGCAAAAAAGTTTGTGTATTGCATTTACCAATCCACCACAAATAACGTAGCAACTCCTACGTCCGCCAAATTTATTAGCCTATTTCAGGCAAAAGGACTATCAACTAAATGCAATACTTTGCAGTTTTTTTTATTATCTTCACATAATTTGTCAAACTGGGACCTTCATAGCACACTAAGTGGCCTGTAACAGCAGTCGGCCTTTGTCCCCCCCTATGTGTATTTATTCATTCACCTGCTCCTACGGAGCGCGATATATTGGCCGTACAGCGAGGCGTTTGAAAAAGAGGGTACACGAACACAATGCCTGCCTGGCTAAATGGAGGGGAAAATCGATCGATTTCAAGTTCAATTCTCCACAGCTAATCGATACGTACCACAAAGCCGATTCTAAAGAAGCCTTTACAGTTATCTACCGGGCGCCGGCACACTACTCTAAAGGCCTGTGCAAACAGCTGCTGGCTACAGACGAAGCAATGATCATTCGACTAGCGAGCCCATCGCTCTGTTTTCAGAAGACGTTGACACAAGCAGTCCGTCTCCCGGTGTTGATCGCACGCCGTCCCGACGCCCTGAGAACAGTCACACGCACTCCGCGTGTTTAACATACACACAGCTCTCACAATCTTACCGAAACCCCTATCTCCCCCCCCTCCCACCCCAACTCCAGCGTCCTCTACACGCTGACTTCGTCATACGGGCGGCGTGGGAACATGGAGTCTGTTTATCCCTGAAACGCATTTATATCCCGTCGACAATTAAAAAGATAATTACCGATGTAAATGCAGTGGTCCGTTGATGAGTTACTGAAAACATTAGTTTGTCAACTGAATTTTCAGTAGTATAAGTTACGTCGCGTTCAATTGAGTTAAAATAACGCCATGTAAAAATTAATCACAGTCAGAGTCAGAAATCTGGCGAAATTTATATTCTTTTTAAGAAAAGAAGCCTTATAGGTTTACATGTAAGAAATTTAGCTGGCACAGCCCTGTCAGGTGAAGTCTAAACTGCCTGAGGTTGATTAAGTCACTCTAGCATCAAAAGTCAGCTACCTTATGTTACACTAGACGAAGCAACTGATGCTATTAACGCGTTCGTACGAGATGCTTCTGCTTACCATGTTTAAAGTTGGACTTACCGCTGGTTGTAATAGGAAGGAGTCGAAGTCCTACTCACGTAGTTCACTCTGACTGGTCTAAAAGCTTCCAAAAACGTTTTTAATCAGAGAGTTTTTTGAACTTAAAACGTGAAGTGTGAACGTTATACGAAAAAACCTAAAAGTTTCCCAGGGCAACGGTAGGGTGTAAGACCCCAGACAGCTTGAGGTAGCATTTGGACCGTGTCATACCTTGAATGGTGGTAGAGGGGTTTTACCGGTGGACAACACGCAGGACAGGAAGCAGGCGGGATGTAATGAGACACAGAAAAAAGGGTAAATTTCTGCCGAAATTCTTTGTCATTTGGAAATGGAAGTGAGCAGCATAGTAAAAAAATAAACAAAAAACAATTTTTAAAAATCAACGGACTCTAAATAAACCGCCGCTGGTAAGTTTACTTTTGTTAGGAAATTTCAACCAATAGGGACATTGAATAATAGATGATGTTTGCAGCCACATTGAATCTTAGCCTGCATGCTGGAGTTGTCAGTTATGGGGGTCCTACACGGTACCGTTACCTTTCCCAGATTGCTGGACGTTTTGTGTTTCATTTGAAGCTATCAGTAAAACAAAACAACGCCTTGCCTGTGCTTATCACAGGCAAATTCTTCTTGATTTTGCGTAGTTATATAAGAAAACACAGAGGGCCGCCTACCTAACGCGTTTTCTGAGGTGCCTTCCAAATGGGACCATTCACTCTCTTGCATCGTGCTTCAAAAGTTGCAAAGAAAAAACGGAGTGAAAAAGCGATGATTAAAAGTTAACTCAATATTGTGACAGTTCATTGCCGAGGACGTCTACTGTGCGCTCCACAGCAGGGTGAGACCAGGGACAGCACAATAGTAGACTTGCACAGCATCTACCGCACTCCTTCCTCCTCCCGAACCTGCAACCGGGGATCGTGACAAAGTCAAGACGGTCGGAGACGAGAGAGGACGCAGGTGTCTGGCACGGCGCAGACCCGCGCCTATGCGTACCACCACACTCTGTGCTCCACAGCACATACTGGTCAAGATTGTACACACTACAAGAGAACAGGGGGGGGGGCAGCCTCCAATCCTATGCAGGGCCATAGAGGCCACATTAAGAAGGATTCATTGCATTCTAACTCGCAGTCCACCAGTCCGCTACTCCACACAAACACACAATGTCCGAGCTATCCGGACAGTTGGCAGCCACGACTTGCAACGCACCGTGATAGCTTCATGGGCGTCAGGCTGTTTGTAGTGAGGAAGGTGCGCTGAGAAGTCGGACTTACTCTCTATTATCATTCCCAGACTCCGGCCACTGTCCGAGCCGGTAAGTTGCCGGAAAATGGGCGCGGTGGCTGATGGACCTTCTCTGCGCGTACCACACATACGACCGGACCCCCCATAGGCACATACCGGTGTGTTTCACAGAAGAGAGTAGACTGCTCAGATTTCACATGAGGCAGGGGAGTCACGTGGAGAAGGAGTCGGAGGACACATTTCTCGCTTGCGTGAGAGGTACCTGCGTTGTTGGGTGATGTTAAAGGTGTTAATGTGTGGAGCATCAGTTGATGGAGAACTGTGTGTGTAGTGCGAGTGGATGCCAAAATAAAAACCTCTATGACGTGATGCACAGTCAGCTGCCAGTAAAGTTAAGTCATTCGCCATACCGTTACCCTGTGGAGCAGTGTGCGACGATTTGGCGAATATTCGCGTGGAGGCCCGCACGATGCCTGAGGGGACAATGTGCGCGGTTGAGACGATGATGGCGAGTGTACGCTGGCACTAGAGGCAGTGATTCGTCAGGGTCTATGCAGCGGATTCGCAGGTGACCGACCAGGCCGATGCGCGAGGTGAATGCCCGGTAGCGATGAGGGTTGAACGGGACCGAGTCTATGCAGTGTTTACTCAGAGAACCGAACTCTTCCGTCAGGTGGCAGCTTTCCAAGCCGTGTGGTAAATTCAAACGCGGCAGATTTATTACAGTAAGGAATGAGTTGAGTGTCGCGGAGATGGATTTCTCGGTGTAGACCTCGCTCTCATTCCTCTCCCAAATCGTGGGTCAAAATGTAACAAGGAACACCTGCATGTGAGGTGAAGGATTCGCACGTGTAGTAGGCGATGTGGGCTTGATTTATGTGTGATCTAGATATGTTTGGTACGCGGTATTGCCCCCCTCCCAAACGGACCAAATGGCAGGTGCGCTGAACCAACACGGGGGCAATATCGGCTCCTGGCAGGCGTTGTCGGAGTGCGCGCCATAACAAATGCCAACATTCGGGGTGCGGTGGAATACTCGGTTGTCGGCATCATCGAGCACTCTGTGACCCCTGTCACCCCTACCCATTGTTGTTGTTGGTCAAAAACCTTCTCCTATGGTGTGTGGGCCAGAGGGTGTGCAGTGGAATGCCAAGGCGCGGACTCAAACGTGCCATCCATCTGCGCCCTCCCCCCTCTCCGGTCTTCTTGACTCTGTCTGGACACCGGGTCCAGGTGGGGCGGGAGATGCCGCGCAAGTTTCAAATTCGCGCGCAAGTCCTCATGCCTGCTTCACTTTGCTGTGGAGCACACGGTTGACACCGTCGCAACAACGGTCAAGCTGTCGGTACGCGAGGTCTACCACGTACAGACTAACTAAAAGAAAGTACATAAGATGGGCTAACTCACGAAATGTCAACCGAAATTCCGAAATGCGCACTCGTTTCGAAAAGCTAAATTAAGTAGGGTTGTAAAACTAATCATACTGCAGCATAATTCTATAATAATTCAGTTACGCCAGGATATTGGCTTTCATGGTATTATAATAATTCAATATTAGAAACTTTTTTTAAAACCGAATGATATTCTTCCTTTGAGTATAAAATAAGAAGAAGACGTAATTTTCTACCGAATGTATATTTTGTATGACAGATGATTAAATATTTAAGAGCATCGAAAATCAATGAGAAAAATGCATGCTAATTAAGTAGTCATTTTTTCAGAGTGTGGTTTTTGCATGTGACCGAAAAGATGTTGGTTCGAAAGCCAGCATTCCCAGGTAAAAGAATTATTATAGAATTATGCTGCAGGATGATCTGTTTTACAACACTATTTAACTACTCTTTTCGAAAAGATAACACATTTTGGTATTTCTGTTGACATTTCATGAGTTAGCTCACCTACTGTATTAACCGAGACACTAAACACATCAAAGAAAATCCATGTTAATTAAAAATTTGCTCACCTATCTTCCTCCTCGTTCTTCCCTCTAGAAACCACAAGGGTTGAAAATATGTGTCAAATAAAGTCAACACGCGAAAAAAAGAAGATGGTTTTGTCTGCAATGGACCAAGCGATCATCGAGATAAGAAGGCATAAAAGTGCATCCACGCCAATAGAAGCGAAGAGAGGAGTCCCAAGAAGCAGCCTTGAAGAAGGAGTCACGATCAGCGATCACACCTACATCCAACGCACGTGATGAGATTGCGGCTCTTAACGGCACGAATATCGGCCATCAGACTGTCATCACACCACGTACAAGGATCCCTGATGAAGGGGAGGGGAGCCGTGAATATTCATAGGTATGCGGTAGCATGGCGCCTGCATCCTATAAATACTGCAGCCCCCTTTTGCATGAACCTCCTGTATCTGCTGTCGTCTCTGATGATGGGTTCGAGCAGGAATCCGAAACGTCAGGCTAATAAGGATCTTGTCCCAGCGAACGTGTCTCCCTCTCCAAGTGTACCCACGGGTTTCACGATGCAAAACTGTTTAAGAGAATGCACAACTTACGCATCACGAGATTCGTTGAGTAACATCGCGTATTCACTTGGCCGTCTGCAGGCCAGCAGAATGAAAAAGCCTAGCAGTACCAGCACGCCTAGAGTACCGAAGGTTCCAAAGACGATCAGCGGTGTAACAGGTCTCCCTGGAAGGACGGTAGAAGAATGTGATTAGGCGGCATTTAAGGTCTCATCAAGAACGGCAATGAAGGAGTAATTGTGCTCCATGTCTCCACAATAAAATTTTAAAACAACAACTGTCATTCTCATGGTTGTTTACTTGTGGACTCTAAACGTGCCAGGTGAAAAAAGCGATATGTTAAGTTCATATTGACCCACCTGTGAAAAAGCTGGCACTTCGGATGTATTCGAACCCACGATAGCAAGGGAAGGCTTTAGTACAGCCAACTCTCTAGTCGCCTGAGCTAGGAGGTCCCACCGGACGACGCGCGTTTAATCACATTTGGGTCAAGTTAACCCACCCAACCTATTGCAACGTCTGGAATCCACCTAATCTGATACAGTACACTGATTGCGCAAGCAGGATTCCTCAATTGATTCACCTAGAATCCACCAGAGTACTACCAGGCTCACGTACTTCGTAGATCTGCGAAAGCATCAATGAATATGTTGAGTCCGCGATCGAATCGTTACAGATTCAGTCTAGAACTAGTGTTTAACCATCAGTTTTGTCAAGTTTCATGAAGCTCTTACCTAGCTACCATTAAGTATACCAAGAGCGGCAGTTTAGAACTCGTCTTTTTGCCGATATACTAACCCCAAATTCTGATTGCCCAAACATCGGCTACCGAGTCGGAGGGTAAAGGTCTTTTCTACCAATAATTACGTAAAAACGATACAGGGCTTGCAGTGACGGACTCGCTTTAAGCTTTAGAGTATTCACTGACAGTTATCAGCTTACAACCGTTTAGACCTCGGAGTATAAAATCATGATTTAACATTTAGCTCAAACTTCTGTCTTCAAAACACGTCAGTGTCGTCAGATAAAGTACCCGTCTAGTCAATGAGGCTGATACTATGTCACCCAGTTCAAAATCCTAGGGACCTGGTAAGTAAATATATTGACCCTGTCAGGCTATTTCCTTCAAACGCTTTTTGACTGGTCTTCCCTGAAAGTGAAAACGCGCACGATCCGATTTAAAGCTGTTGTACGATTGAGTGCTCTCTGCAGACTCAGCTCAACTCTTACGCCCTGCTGACTGCGATAAACGAAAACAAAAATGACGCTCAATCTTAATGATGGGACTTGATTGGTCAGCACACCGTGCCAGTGCATCAGGACAGTAGTGATTGGACACCGCATCCGTGGTCATTGCGGGGCTGCCAGCTTCGGATTTAGTGTTCCTCTGCAGCGTATCTCCTGATTTACTGGTCGATTTTTACTCCTCTAGCAAGAGGGAACACAAATGAGATATTTGGGAGAAATCGACACAGCCGGCTGTGTAACAGTGGTCTTCCCTTAAGTGCTGGTGTCGGGATACTGGAGGGCCACTCAGCGTACGCACATAGCTGGCGCAGGACCACGGTGTGGGGAGGTGCATCGATCGAGTCACGGAACTTGCTCGTACCCTCTTAGGCAGCCGCATATCAGCCAGTAAAACGAGCGAGGAAGAGACGAGCAAGGGAAGTGGGGTGGACATTTCCGGTTCATAGGCCATCGTCAGGTCGTCCAGGCTTTGAATGCGGTAGGGCTTAGCTGATGACGGCCAGCAAGCCACAAATGGTCATCCCAGTCCGCCTTGTATTTGTCGGCACTCCCTTTCCTGCGCACGTATGTTAACAAGCAGACGCTAGTGATCACTGATAGGTAATTGTAAGTCGTAGGATAACCATAAATGAGAATTAAGCCTTTAAAGGCTGATGATCTAGCAGGGACTCGCTTGATCTCACAATGCGCGGGTTTCATCGGGAACACTTGAGGCCCCGCTAGAAGGTATATTGACCTATCTATCATGGTTCTACGACGTTCTGTCTTATCTTGTGGTTGTAGTCTACAGTCCTGTCAGGCAATAACGCGCGGAGGAGTAATCAGTACTAGAACAATCTTAAAAGATGCAAGATGGAGTTGCTGAACTTCCGGACTTGGTCATCGCTAGCCAGTCAGGCCCCTACCGTGATCCAGTACGGCCCAAAAGCTGAGCCTGAATCCTGTCAATCACGGATTCTATCATCTCATGACTCCAGTCTCTGGTTCACGTTGTGTCAGCCATTCCAGCCCGCTTTGCCGTTACGTCCTTCTTACTCCAAACATTGAAACCATCATGCGAGAATATCGGACCAGAGCTTCACGTTGACCCTGGTCCCACATATTTTGTTCTCCAGCAGAAGCAGGTCAACGAATTCCACGCACACTCACACACAAGCTCTCTCTCCTACTTCAGGTAGAGGAACCATGTCACCGTCGTTACCGATAAGCATTCTGACGCCCAAGAAACTGCTTATTTAGGCATAACTTCCTCATTCTCCACTTCTCACTCTCTCTTGCTCTCCCTCAACAAATTACGCCTCATATTTATCGTTTCATTCTCTCGCTACTGGCCGATGTAAGTAGTAAACCTTTGTCCTAATTTAGTCAACGGTTCCGTACGCTACACGCGGCTTCTAAACGCCCAACCGCAGGACTGTAAGGTATCAGTAAATTCTCAACTTTACGAAATCAGTGTCATCGGTGGTATTTAAGAGAATAAAGGCAGCTAAGGGCACCTACGTTTCGTCCGAAAGACTAGCGGCGAAGATTCAAAGTAGATATCTTGAAAGTAGAGGCGCAGTGTTACCCTGAAAAGGTTGCAAACATCGTAACGAAATTAATGCAATAAATGGCACATTGTCAAAATCTTGGATATGAACTAAGTATGGTTTTGGTGAAACGCAGTAAGTGAGCAACGCCGTAAAACCGCGGTTTAATCAGTGCTATCTAGCAGTCAGGCCTTTTAAGGCAGTACACGCGTTCTCGTGATACGAAGCTTTTCTAACACCTCCTATATTCAACAAACGTTGCTAATATCTTTTCTTTTGCGGCCCAATGTCCTTTTATAGGGATGGGAAATTAGTTCACGTACTCACGTAATTTGATTAAGAAGCTCTCCAAAACAGCGGTGCATAGGTGCTGATCACCTTAGAGACAAGCGACCCTATCACTGAGTTGAGTAAGCGAAAGAACAACAATAAAGTACCGGGTGCATCTGTGCAACCTTTAAAAAACTTTTCCGAACGGTAAGAATTAAAGGGATTTTTTTGACTCCTTTGAGCATCATGCAGTAGTTAATGTACCCGTATTTTTGCCCTCGTAACGCGTCGCATTAAAGCGGCACCCCAGCTAGAGGCTCAGACAGGGTTGGGTGCGTTGTTCGCAGAAAACCGTAGTCTGGAAAAGGAGTGAGTGAGTTCCGTGAGAACGATCGGTGATCGTCCCTCTACCATTATGTATACCTCATCGAAACCCACAAGACAACCAGCTAGTGGCTCAATGTTTAGAGGCGTTGGACTTCTAACTAACAGGTTGCGGGATCGACGCTGACTAGTTTTACAACCCTACTTACTTAATCTTTTCGAAACTAAAAGGCATTTCGGAATTCTGGTGGACATTTCATGAGTTAGCCCACCTACATTACCTGTCTTACGGCGAGCTGTCATAAATACTGCCTTAAGAAGGAGCCATCGCAGTCGGATGAGGACCGAGTTATCGTTCGGGTTGACATTTTTCCAAGTCATGCTGCCTAGTTTGTTGTGTAGGCAGCGGATCACATTATCAGCCTCACATTGAAGATGGACAATAGGCATAACCTTATTTCCTCACGCGTCCTCTCATTCCCCACCCCCTCCCCCGCCTGACTGACTGCTGTCCCACGCTAACAGAAAATAACTGACGATATTTACTTGTAGGCGCCAGAGAAAGAGATAAAAAGGCCTCGCGGGGGCTGTTGCATGAGGTGCTTAAGATGCTTTATGTAGTCATCGGAGTAAAAATACGATAATTAAATAACTTTCTGGCAAAGCCCGCAAGGGGGCACTAAATTCATACACCATTATCATTGGATGGTAAAAATTGTGTCCCGTTCCAATAGGTGAGAATATGAAGGATCAAAATGTGTGATATCACAAAGTTCTTAGATATTCCGAGCTTTGCTTAACACAAAAGCTCCCCGGAGTAAGTAACCCCGGTCATAAACCATTCCTTTGACCATGTTTTATTTACCTATCACGATTCATCCCCAAGGTCGCTCTCTCTAACGGAACAATTTATGGAGTAGATCAGTTTATTCAAGGTCTATATGTACAGACAGAGAATTTTTATGTATGAATATGTGGGCTGAAGTCCATCAGCCACAGCGGATAACCGCGTAATGTGCATTAATTGCCGACGCAGTTATCCGCTTTGGTTGATGAACTTCGGTCCACATATTCATTTATAAAAATTTCCAGTCTGTGCCTATAGACCTCGAATAAACTGATCTACTCCAAGTTCGTAGATCATTTCTGAGGAAATTAAAAAGCGACAATGTCTAAATTGGAGTATCTACGAGAAAACAGACAGGGAATGCTGGGGGACCGGCTGACGAGTCGAACCCCTCGCAGCGGCAGAATATCGGCGAAACACGCGTGTATTGGCTTTTGGCTAGTATCTGTGCTGTTAGTGTGGTATCACTGTACTTCAGAGTATACTACTAGCTGCCTGTCAGCAGTTAATGAATATTACGCGGTCATCTACTGTGGCGGATGGACTTCGGCCGCAATATTCATAAATAAAAATTCTCGGTCTGTGCCTATAGACCTTGAATAAACTAATCTTCTTCAAGTTAGTAGATTATTTCTGAGGAAATTCAAAAGTGGACCGTTTATCTTACCGTATTAATTACGTAGTCGAATAAGGGGTTAGAATTATAATGGTGAAAGTGCAGTTGTGTACTCGTGAGGACAGCTTCCGCCGCAATGACTTGATTGCCTTTTTGAACCCTCACATGTGTACACAAGTTTACGCTAATCGGCTGATGCCTGACATTGTGGTTAAATGACATCCACAGTTTATAAACTGTTCTCTTGTTTAGGTACGTGGGCAGGGGCTCAGGGCAAATACAGGGCCGCGTGCCGCCCTTCTAGGTCAAAAGGTCTGAAAGCGTTTGGCCATCGCCGGCTGGCAGCTCCCTGATACCTGGTCCCCTGCTGATAGATTCGCTTACGCTGCCGCTGGGTATGCAGGTGGCGGGCATGGCTGCCCAGTCATCATCCTCGTCCTGTTGACCCCTGTATGTTTTATACCAGGGGGTGTGGTTGAAGGTCTAGGTGCGCTTGCGGCTGTGCCAGTCACCTGTGCCCTCCCTCGCCTCCGGTCTTCTTGACTTTGTCTTTAAACCGAGTCCAGGTGGGGAGTGGGGAAGAGAGAGTGCGGAAGGTGCTTCGCAAGTCCACTGTCACTATAAACTAACTCACGCGCACGTCACCGTGCCTGCTGCACCTTGCTGTGTAGAACATGGTGGACATCGTTGGAATCGACTGTTCAACTGCCGAGCAGGGTGGGGGGGGGCGCCCTTGGAGGAATCACAAAAATTTCATTTTTATTACACGATGACTGCCTAACTCCCCGTGAGGTCATTACAAGCAGACCTCACGTGTGGTCCAAGTCGCACTTGGGACCCCAGCAGAACGACAAAATCTGTCATCAGGATAACGCCAAGTCGGCGTGGATATCCAAAGCTTCCCACTTTCCCAACATGCCCTTTGCGAGATCGCAGCCTAGAGGGGTGAGATTGGACAGAAAGCCTACAACTTTGCGGGTTGGGTTAGGGAAAGAATTGGGATGCGTTTGGACATACGTGTACACAGTGCCCGGCTCCAGGGGACCGTTGTAGAGGTGTGATTTCTTTGGCCGACCAAGGCCGTCGCCGAGGACAAAGTTCATATCTGGAAGTGAAAGCGTTCGGTTTGGAAATTCCTTGATGACCAGCACTTCCCAAGTTCCGTTCGTGTTGTTTCTGTAAGTCTAAAAAACCCAACAGAGTGAGCACATGTCCAAGACGTTAACAGGGCTCGGTGACCCTATGGGCAACCGCCGGCACCAGCCGTGTGGAAACCCTGCAGCCAAAACCTCCTCAAGAACTGAGACTTACACCTTCAATGGGATAGGTTGGTGCAGCGCCGATTTCATGTTTTGGTTCTGCCAATGACCCTGTCCTCTCGAATGGCAGTTCAGAGTGATCAGTGCTTTCCTCATTTCCTGGCCGCTGACCGGAATGCACGACGAGGGTGGCGGACATAAAAGGCCCCGTGACGTTCAACTCGAGGAGAGAAAAGGGCAAGATGATGATGGCTTGCGTTGTTTCCTGCACCATGGGTAGCCTGCCAAGGCGAGGGGTCAACTTCTTCAGAGTTGTGCTCTCAATATCTAAATCGGGAGAGGACGAAGATGATGATGAAGAAGAAGAAGAAGAAGAAGAAGAAGAAGAACGAAGACAGAGGGGATTAGTCTAGGGAACTGTGCAAAGGAGAGCAATAGTCGCTTCTCGGCAAGGAGATCGGAAACTTTTACAGCGATAAACATTGCCAGACGAGACCAAAAGCCGATACCCAGATTTCCCTCGAAGTGCTGTGTATTTCAGCTGCCCGAACTACTCGATTGACGTTTCTCCCCAAATCGAAAGCCAGCATGTCTGGCGGGATCATAGTGTGGGAAATTGAGAGTCGCACAGTCAGAATGAATTTTTCGCTAAAAGCTGCATCACCAAATAATTGAAAAGCTCGGTTCGCAGCTTCGAAAAAGGCTAACCTTCCGTTCTAGTGACGTCAGACATTCGGCTGGACAGGGTCTGCGCTAAACGGCGACGAGTACAAAGGTATTCACGCGAAATTCCAATTTTGGTTGAAATAAATGACTATTTTAGGATTGCGAAAATTCCCATTTAAAAATTTAAAAGGTAATTTGGTGAGCATACAGTACGTGACCTGTCTCATAAAATACTGTCGGCTTGCGAGTGATTGGCAATCATTCATGAATCAGGTCTCTAACTGTACGTCTGTTTTCGATGAACTCTCTTTAGGCCTGAACATTCATATGGTTATTGGAATAATGGACTAGAAGATATGGGCAAGTAGATAATTATGCTGTAGCTCGGATTTAGGGAGGGGAGGGGCGGGAGAGTGTGAAACACCACAATTCCAGTCAGCGTCAAGTAGGTGGGTACCGGCGAAGAAGAAGCAATTGGTTGCTCTGCGACCGGTTGCAGGTTCTATCTTCTACCAGGAAGTGTGATGGTATGTCTAGGTGAGGGTTTACTCCGTGCCAGCCATCGGCGCCTTCTACCGCCTTTGGTCTTCTTGGCTCTGTCTTGACACGGGATCCAGGTGGAGGTGGAGGAGAGTTCGGCATATGCATCGCAAGTCTGTTACCACTGCAAACTAACCCACGCGCAAGCCACCGTTCCTGCTGTTACTCTGTTGTGGAGCACATAGCGAACATTGTCGAAATCGACAGTCAAAAGGTCGCGGGTGTAGAGTGTGATTTACCTCCTGAAGATGGCTGGAGTTAACTGGAATCGCCGAATGCACTTTTGCGTTCGGCCCAAGAGATGCCATTAAAATGAACTAGCGGCAAGGGCAGAGGTAGCATATAGCCAAATGACAATTCCACAACTCGTATGAGAACTCAATGAATCGAAGCATCGATCTGGAGCGGGCGAACGGAGCCGCGCACAGTCACCCGCAGACCTGTGTCACTGATCGTTGATTGGTCCCTATGGTTGCTGACTGTTCTGCTGCTATCGCCAACTCTGACAATTGACCCTCGTACGAGTTCAGAAGATTGGAAACATAAAGAAATGGTTGCCTACCAGTCAATTTTTCCTACTCATAATCATGAATTTGAAATTTAAACGTGTCGTCCAAATTACATAGGGATGATTGAGACGCAAAATGATGGATTCTGCTGCTTCCTGTTGCTTTATATAGCCGCAAACTGGCCAAAACTGGAAAGGACTTTTAGAAAGCCTAGTTTTCAAGAAAGATTTTATCTTCACGTTGTTTGCCGTAACACCGGCTGCAAACTGCCTTCTTATCTGAAAGTACAGTAAACGTTGGTAATTCGAAATTTCGATGCAATAAAGTCACCCGGACGACTTCGAGAAACCCGCTGGTCTTATTTCATCTCTGATCCGTGCGTTGTCCCAGTGGGGTCCCAGAAATGTTTTTCTATTCCTCACATGCTTTTAAATGACCATCGACTCTCTCCAGAGTGGACTGCAAAACGAACCAAAATACAGCGTCAGTTCCTTTTTATGCATTTTGTGTGCGCTTATTAGAGCTTTGCAGGCTATAATTAGCTTTTCCTGGCAGGATCGGAGTTTCGGGGCAAAATTCCAGTGTCGTCTGGCGACCGAGGTAGTCGCATATTGACCCACTTACCTATTTATAAACAGCCTTCAAAGCAACAAGAGGAATTCGGAGGTGACTGGACTGCCATTCGTTTCGGGTCCAGTCTGCTCTCATCACGTAACCAACCAACGACTTTAACCACATCCAATCAGACGCGCGCTAGTAGCAACAATACATATGCTTCCGGTGTGAGGTCAAGCCCGAGCCGGGTAGGGGGGGATTTCATGCTAAAGCAGCGGTCGGGTCAGAACCTTCTCATCAGACATTCTTTACTGCCGTTCTTCACTTTCATCCCAAGATGACGGTGGGACGCTGTTCGTAGCGCCTTCTGTCTGAAAAAGCAGCGAGAGAAGTCCGCTTTTACGATAACCCCTCCTTATACTAATGTCTTCCAGCCCGAGCAACTGAATGGAACTTGGTCCTGAAGGTGACCACTGAGACACAGCTGGCGGCCGGGAAAGGATAACTTACAGCCTGTCCATGTGGTGAAGGGTATCCGAGGCGAGAACTGTCCACAGCCACCTCCGTGGCCATTTTCATTGGGATCATTGCAGGCGCGGACGCCCACATAGTAGGTCATGCCTTCAAAGAGGTCGTAGAGCATGCAGGAGCCATTGTCACTTCCACGAAAGGTACACTTGTACAGGTACGGTTGGAGGACGACGGCAGTGTAGTTGGCGATCTGACCGTTTGTTACTTCTGGGGGATCCCACTGAATTTTCGCTTGAGTCGGGCTGTGAAGAACTACTGAGACATTCGTGGGCGGACCAGGAACTAGAAAGTGAGCAAGCCACAGTAGAAGGTCGGGGGGAGAAGGAAAGTGGGTGAATTTTCTTAAAGCTCTGCATTTACGCATCTTGTAAGGCTGCTGCTTCTGCTGCTGCCGCGGCAGTGAGATGAAACTTTTAAATAATTAAAAAGAGGAACTGTTGTGCATCACGTGATCCTGGCGGTTTAGAGGCACAATGTGGTGCTGTCCTTCCTGAATGCCTTGAAAAACAGGGAGAGAAGTTCAAAAAGGACGATTAACTGGCAATAGCGTGAGCATTTTCCAATAATTTGGTTCTGCTCATAGGCGCAGCCTGGCTCTTGCAAACTGATGCACTTACAGTAGGCGGGCTAAGTCATGAAATGGCAACCGAAATTCCGAAATACGCTTTTGTTGCGAAAAGAGCAATCAAGTAGAGCTGTAAAAATAATCATCCTGCACAATAATTCTATATTTTTTCAATTACCTCAGAATGCCGGCTTTCGAATTAACTTACTTCGGACTGCACGCACAAACTACACTCTGTAAAGAAAGACTTCTTAAGTAGCACGAATTTTACTCATTTATTTTCGATGCCTCTAAAAGTCCAATTATATTTCATGAAAAACAAGAATTAAAATATTAATTCATTTGCTCATTCGGTAGATAATTACGTCTTCTTCCAATCTAATGTCCGAAGGATGTGCATAATTTGGCTTTTAAAAACTTTTCCAATTCCTGAATAATTTTGAACCTGCCCTACCGTTACACTTGGATTCAGGGTTTCCAAACTACAAGCCGTACATTTCCCGCGTACGGAAACCATACATCTCTCTACGGTCCTTAATACGGACTATATAAGCTTTATGAAATTTGACGGTTGATTTGATCCATATTGTTAACTTTACGAGCCATATTCGTAAATGGAGGGACATGACGATTTATAAACGGCCATTTCACGGTATTTAAAAGTCTCACAATTAGAAACTTTTTTAAAACTGAATTCTGTCCCTCTTGCGAGCATAACATTAGAAGGAAACGTAATTTTCTACCATATGAGCAAAAGAATGAATATTTTCATGCATGTTTTCCATGAAACATAATTTGACACTTAGGGGCATCGAAGATCAATGAGAAAATTTAGGTTATTTAAGTAGACATTTTTTACGGAGTGAAAAGAATTTCGTTCGAAAGCTGGCATCCTGGGGTAACTGAAATATTATAGAATTATGCTGCAGGCTGCCTAGTTATACAACCCTGCTTAATTAACTCTTTTCGAAACGAACACGAATTCCGGAATTTCGGTTGACGTTTCATGAGTAAGCCCATCTACTGTAATTTTTAAGCGCTGCCCACAGACGTTTCAGGGAATGTTTTAACAAGCTTTCAAATGAAAAAACAATGACTAAGATGGATTAGGGAGAAAAATCAAGTTGGAAAATTAAACCAATTTCTAAAATATTGCTCTGCATATAAAAAACACTAATTAAATGATTCTTTCCCTTTCGGATGTTTCGTACGTTAGGACAATCCGATTCTTTTTTTTGCCGAAAAGAATGTCCAAAAATACGACTTATCGCAAGCATTTTAGACGCTTAGCGTCCTCGCATTTGAAGGCGTTTGCTGATTCTTTTTCGGTATGCTGTGCGATAAACTCAAGGCATATATCTGTGATCCCACGTCTACCTCTTGATGCGTAAAACATTTAATACTATATACAGACATCATATACGTTCTGACAGCGATACTGATTAATCTGATGATTGCATATTATACGTAAGCGCCTTAAGAATTTTTTATCATTACGAGTCTCCGTTTTTCCTTCCATCAACTGTAAAATTAGAAGAAAACGTCATTTTCTATGATATGAGTATGAAAAAAATTCCCCGAGAGCCGCGCAGTTCCAAGAGCGCTCGACGCGCGTCCGCCGACAGGGGGGAGGGTAGCGCCAGTGATTGCCTGTCCAGGAGGTTGAATACGCACATGCATCCCCACCCGCCCCATAGGCAACGCGTGAGCCAGAGGTGGAGGGCTTATTGGCGGACGTCTCAAGGTCAGGCTACTGCGCCAATCGATGACCTGCTTTGACGACCCAAGGACGCATAGTGATTGGCAGACGCATGCTAATGCCTAAAGGCCTTGGAGCCACAATAAATTGACCCAGTTTCTAGGTCCCTGCACCCGAACTTGGCAAGCCTTAGGGCAAAACGAACCTACCACCGGGTACTGTAGTTGCATACAGGACATAGTCCGAGGGAGTGCACATCTCGTCGTTGCAGGCTTCCATACTGACACTGTAGACTGTACCCACTCGAAGGCCCACTAGCGTACAGCTTGAACAGGGCGTTGTGCAGGAACAAATGGCCTCCACCTGGTCGTCTGCGGTGGCTCGGACAAGGTAGAGCGCCTTGGCAACGTCGAACTCCTCCTCCCAGTGCACAACTATTGCTGTACCGGAAATGGCGATCGCTGATATCGGGCGCGGTGGGGGCATTACTGAAAGGTAGAAGTACATGTAGGGCAAATAAATTTTCCCAATGCAGAATGTAAAGCTGCCATCGAGCACAGCCGCAAAGGTGACTTTCGTGCAGAAGTGCGAAATGTGATTTTTGTTTATAACAAAGATGACTGGCACAGCCCTCATGTGACCGTTGTTAAACTGCATTGTTTCGGATCCACTACCTGACAGCGGTCGGCCACGGACATACAACAAGTGTGCTAACTCAGGCAATGTTAACCGGGATTCTGAAAAGCGTCTTCGTTTTGACAAAATTACTTAAGTAGAGTTGTAAAATTAATTAGCATGCAGCATAATTCAATAATAATGCGGTTACCTCGGTATGCCGGCTTTCGAACGAACTTCTTCCCAGCCGCATGGAAAAGCCACACTCTGTAAAAGCGACTATTTATGTAGCATTTTTCTCGCTGATATTTGACACCCATAGAAATTCAATTAAATTTCATGGAAAGCATGCATTAAAATACTCATTTTTAACTCATTTGGTAGAAAACATGCATGCGACCTCCCGTTAAACTTGCATTTCGGATTCCCAAACTACAACTTTATTTTCCGCATGCAGAAAGCCGTCCATTTCACTGCGGTATTAAGAAGACACTATATGGAATTCATAAAATTTAACAGTGGATTTGAACCATATTGCAAACTTTACAGGCCATATTAACAAGCGACCACAATGTCCTATGAACGGGCATTTCGCGGCATTAAAAATCCTATATTTGGAGACTTTTTGAAAACCAACTTATATCCTTCCTTCGAGTATAAAATTAAAAGACGACGGATGTTCCTACCGACTAAGTGAAAGGATAAATATTTTTATGCATGTTTTCCATGAAACATAATTGAATTTCTAAGGGCATCCAATGTCCATGAGAACGATCCATTCTACATAAGTAGTCATTTTTTTCAGACTGTGATTTTTGCATGTTGCTGGAAAGAAGTTCGTTCAAAAGCCGACATTCTGAAGTAACTTAATTATTATATAGTTTGCCTCGCGACGATTAGTTTTACAACCCTACTTAAGTAATCTTGTCGAAACGAAGACGCTTTTCAGAATTTCCGCTAACATTTCATGAGTTAGCACTCCTACTGTATGAATTTTGGCGCGAAGACCAAATTGGAAAATGAGATGAAAGTAATAGGTGTCGTTCAGGAAATTAGACGTTATGTTCCTATATAAATAAGAGGGAAAGAGTGTGTTTTTGCGGTATGTTTAATTTAATGCACAAAAATGCCCTTTGTAGGAAGATACCTTGAGGGAGTACTCATATCCTTCCAATACCGACTTAGTCATCCACAGGACTGGCGTAAGGAAAATGTGAATGAGGGATGACATGTCAGGCATTCTTTACATTTTGATAATGCAGACTATTAATCATACGAAATTTAAATCCACCAACCTTCGTCCTGTAACTGTGTGTCACTGGTCTCTAATGCGACAGATCTGTAAGTAGGTCAAAACGTTCATTTCGAAGGCTCGAATCTTCCTTTTTTTGGGTACTTCTGTCAAGTTAACTGGTACTTGGATTATATTTTGGTATGCGATTATCGTATAGGTGTGAAATATTTTCCTTCATAATGCAGCTACAGTGTGGCTTCATGGGTTCAGTGCGTCCCGCGCAAACGAATCCCACAAGCTTCGGGCAGTAAGACGCAAAAGCAAATAACCAAACAACCTCCGCCATCATAAAATTCTAAAGGTTGAAATACTAAACTTGTAGGAAGCAGACGAGACAAAAATAATTTTATTGAGTGACCACTGAGGTTAAAAAAAAATATCGCAAAACAAGAAGCTACCTTCGAGCAAGAGACTGCGCATAACGTTGCTAGCAATAAAAAAGAACCTTTCCAGGCATAAAGCAGCGGCAGCACCGACGTCGTCAGTCGACCTGCTGACTGGCGCGTCGGGGCCCAAACCAGATATATGAATGGCTGAATGAACGCAAAGTAAGCCCGAAGCGGTACTGTATCAATCTACCCGCATTCTCTGTCGTCCCTCCTCGTTGTTAATATGACTTGGCCCACTTCGGCCTGGTAATTGGCGGCCTGTTCGTGACCTTTGCCATCCATACGGGCCTTGTTTGCTTCGTAAAGCCAATAGATCAGCGTGCGCCCATTCTTGATTGACTAAATATATATATATATATATATATATATATCAACATGAGTGAAGACTCGTGGCCCAAGTAAATTATCCCCTTCATCATCCCAAAAAGAAGACGAGGAAGAAAAAGGGACGATTGCAGGGGCCATACTGTATTGGTGCCAAAGTTTCGGAAGCTTCCTCGTTTTCATCATCAGAGTGGTGGGGTATCTGTTTCTGCTGGCCCGGAGTTGTTCTGTACCGCCGCCTGTCTTATATTATAGGCATGCCTGAAGCACGAACTCTGACCTGCCTTCTTGCTGGGGACTGGATTTGGTCTCTCCGCGGGTGACCTCTGGCGCGAAGCATCAGCACCAATACAGTGTGGTCCAAGCAATCTTTCTTTCTCTTCTTCGTATTCTTTTGGGTATGCCGAGCGGGATACCGACAAAGACAAGGGAGACCGGAATGGCCATTTCTGGCTTATTAGCCGTCATCAGCCAGTCATACCCAACTCCAAGTGTGGATCACTTGAGATTCTACCATTGAGCCACGGGCCCGTTGTCCTGTCGGTTGTGATCGGGAATATTAATTATGATAGTGGGCGCTCACCGATCAGGTTACGGAACATGCTCGTATGAATGGCTGATGACGGCTAATAAGCCAGAAATGGCCATTCCGGTCTCCCTTGTCTTTGTCGGTATCACCTTCTCAACATATATCACTAGTCGCTGTGCGACTGCCTGCGAGGGTTTAAGTAAGAGCCCGAAGGCACAACGGAACGAGCATGTTCCGTAACCTGATCGGTGAGCGCCCACTATCATAATAGATATATATATATATATATATATATATATATATATATATATACGAACTATTGGACATCGAGAATTCTCTCGGCCAGAAGACCAGTGTTACGAGATCGAATTAACCAGGTGCTCCCCAACCACCCCTGAGGTACTGCGACCACGTTTGTCACCGTACGCCTATTGAATAGTATTTTCTCCTTTTAAATTCGTTAATCTAACCCGTGACACTCAGATTAAATTGCATCCTCAATAGCATCGCATATACAATGTTATAAATTTGTAGGTAATAGAATTCCTGCAACTCTAATGAAACCTCTCGTTACCAGACCCCTTCTTCACATGAAGTGTTACTGTAATAGTCCAAACAATTACAAAAAACCTAAACACTCTCTGCCGTGAAACTTCCAAGTTGCGTCACAAGCCCAGACTTACAGTTTTCGGGTTGCAATTCCACAGAAAACTTGTCGCAGTGCTTCGTTAAGAAAGTAATCCGCGTTATGACTGTCTCTAAATATTACATTCGCAGTCTTAGATTCACCCAAAAGAATAAAAGGGTGTTTCAAAGCCTTCGAAACTGTCCTTGTCTCTAATCAAATCGTTGTGTCGGGCAGAAGTCAGTGTTCGATGAATAGGACAACTCAAAATTATTTAATGTGCATTCATTCACATCGTATTTGTCCGTTTAGTAATGCTGTTTTTGAAGTGCAGACCCTAGTCTACAGCAGATAAAAAAGTTTTATGGCAGAAGCCTAGGGAAAGATACATATAACTTTGCCTGAATTGAATGAATACAACATGGATTGTTGAAAACTAAAGCGCGAGTGTAACCACATATCGGGTTTGCAATTATTGGCGAACTGAAAAAGCGTTCTCCAAATCCAAGAAATACTTTTTTTCAATTTTAAAATTCAAAGACGACGCAATTTGCCACCAAGGGAGTGTAATAAAGACCCTTTTAGTTTGTTTTCGGTAAAATATATTTTAATATACCGTTCCATATTTGAATCTGTAAGGGCACCTTAAGTCAGTGGAAAGGATCATACCACATAGGTCGTCATTTTTTAACTAGCGTAGTCAATGCAGACGGCCAGAAAAAAAAAGGGTTGGATGAAGGACCCGATTAACTGTCGGTAGACTGTAGATCGTGTGCTGATTTATGTACTTGCGAAATCTAGTCAAGTAATGATAACTGACAGTTGTACCCAAGAGCGGAGAAATAGAAAACGTAGATCAACTGGGAATGGATTAAGGGATAACAGAGACGTCTGCCAGGGGATAGCCTCAACTGTTCAAAAACTCATTCGAAAGACGGCATCCTGCCATCACCGGAATGTCTTGGGAGTATGCTACACGATAATCGATACCACAACTTCACCTGAGCAATCCTTTCTAATTGAAATCGCATGTTGGGCTCCCGATTTACGTTTCATGAGATGGGCCGGCCACTGTAAATTGAGATAACATTCTAAGGAAAATGGACAGGGATCGCCTTCCAAACTAATCTGCACACGCTTTTGTCTTGTTCGGACGCCTAGAGCATTTTATTGAACTTATGCCAGCCAAAACTCTGCAGTTTCAAACGACAAGAAAAGCGTTGACGTCGATCAGGAAAAAACTTACCCTCTGACAAAGACGGCGTCAGAAATCCGAGAGATATAAGCACCAGGAGTGTGGAAGCCCCTTGACCAACGTTCCGAGGGGACGGCATATTGGAATGCAGAAAAAAGTGAGAGTGTGTATACGTCTTAATCTGTCGGAGAAAATAGTTTGAGGGTTACCTTTTGCACAAACATCCGCTAAACTCCCACCAATTGAGATCACAACGGCGTGCGCGCAATGAGTGTTCGATAACTGATTTGTTTGCGATATGAAGGGACCAATCAAACGTATCTTGACTCATGGCTAATTTAATCCGCTTCCCTTCTGCTGTAAGGAGGCCATCGCTATTTACGAGGCGCAGAGAAGAGTGCTTGTGACATGGTGGTCCATATATAGGTTCATATGTGGATACTGATTAGGAGAATCTCGTTCGCAAATTTGGCAGCCGCTAGTCCTCCAGCGGTCGGTAGGCCACGAGTGACTTT